TCAATAATCTGTATCGTAGCTTCTTGCTGATAAAATGCAGTGAGTGTTAGTTAAAAGAAACACAAATTTTCCCTAGAGCAAGCAGTAAACACAAATAGCCAGCAGCTAGCTCTCTGCAACTCTCACATGGTCAGCATATACATATTGAACAATATCGATATACATTCGATCTAAGTGACTAATGCTACCAAACTGAAAAAAGAGAGAGTACCCCAACAATGATTGAAGCAGCAAAAATTAGAGGGTTCATTAAATGGTATAACATTTTGGACAATTTTCGTTGGCTGAAAATTCGGTACATCTCTCTGATATTAACACGCATGGTTTCCGCTACATTTATTCTACCATGTCAGGGCGCCACACCAAAATGCATCCCCACACAGCTACATTTCAGCTTCTCATTCAAAACATTCAGTCGTCGTTGTTGTTTTTAATAGTGGGTGATAATCGCACCAAAACGCATTAAAAGGTAAGTGAATTATAACAGTGCAAACTTTACTGTAACTGTAGTAGTTCTGTGCGTTATTTGTTTAACCCTTTAAGGTGACGTGCTGACAGACAGGCGTGTGATGCTTGAGGCTAGCAAACACGACGTAGCTTTCAGTTAAGATGAACACAGTTTCCATAATTATACTCTATTTATAGATGAAGGTATGTGGCGCAGTACTTTTTGGGTCTGTTTAGGTTCGGATCATATTATCACCACAAACTAACCACTCCAGGGTTTGTTTGAAAGCGTACCGAGCCCACCTCTTCAAGCAGGTCTTTGTACGCTTTTTTGGTCTGCTTTTGGTGCGCAAGTACGATTGCTGCATTCACACCTGCCCAAACAAACCACACCAAGAGGGAAAACGAACTCTTGTGCGATTCAACCAAACTAAATAAGGCAGGTGTGAAAGCATCCATAAAGACCTGCCGCCACAGCTGGAAAAAATCCTAGAGGAAACACTGACACACTTATAGATTCCCATTGCACGCTTTTTAGATTCCCACTGTGTGATTGGATCTTAGATTAATATAATATAGTATAGTGAAAAAGTCCAGAGCTTATCATTGTTATTGACATAAATTATCGCGATTCGATATAATATCGTTTACTGGCCCAGCCCTAAATGGACCCTCTAATTTTTGTCACTTTGGTTATTTTTAGGGTAATACTTTAAATCAGGAAGCATTAACAACTTGTGTCAAAAAATATTATTATCCTTAAAGCTTTAATATGGAAAATAATTCTTATTTTAAAATCAGGTTTTCTGCAGGCTTCACCAAGTTAAATTTGAAACTTCAAGACATTTTTAAGACCATTATGAATTAAACTTTGGACTCATAAAGGGCTAAAGGCTAAGGAATTTTTCAAATGGCCTAGATGGAAAAGATGATTATTTGCCCTTTAAAAAAATATTATAATTGAATACATTTAATAATACAATAATAAATTAATAATAAAAAATGTAAATATTTTTGATATTTCTGTGCAAAATATTTTAAATGGTGTGTAAAAATGAGCAAGCACTACTTGTATCCATACACTTGTTTACAACATAAACTTTCTTTAAAATAAAAAATAATGAACAAATGTTTTTAAAACTATAATAAACCAAATCTATGCCAACAATATGTCCAGGTCGGTGTCCTCAGCGGTAAATACATAGAGAACCTTAAAACAAATGTTATTGTAAGGAAAATAAACAAATCATTATGATAAACAGTTAAAAATTGCCTTTTTAAATAAAAGTTTAATAAAAGTTTTATTAAGATGGATTGTTGGTGATTGTATGGGTTTTGCCCAGATTAGGTAGCAATACATGAATAAAGGGAAATTAGGACCTGTTAAAAAAGATTTAAAATCTACAACATAATATTTCAATAAATGTAAGACTTTTTAAGGCCTAAAATTTTGATTTGGGGATTTAAGACATTTTAGGACCCCGTGGAAACACTGGAAAATTAAAATATAGTGCATATCGCAGCCTCTTGCATTTAGCTAATCGCAACATTTCAAATCACAATTCGATTAACCGCACAGCCCTAACTTTAGGTGTTTCATAAAATGCAAGTCAATGACACATTTAGGTTCATAAAAACACACAGGCAAGAAATTGAAAAGTATAAACATCTCAATGTATGATCAGGAGCCATGGGGATTCTTCATTTTGTTTTGTCCATTTACGTTTTGTATGACTTTTAAAGTGCAAGTATGCATTGACTTACATTTTCACCTAAGTCTTCTTAAAATGTGAAGCAAAAAAAAAAAAAAACTGAAATAAAATCACTTTAATAATAGTTGGCCTGAGGATTACAGTGGTAAAGGGATAAACAACATATTCTGAAGAAGAAAGATGGGGGAGCAGTCTTTGACATCTATAGTAGGAACAAAAATACTATGGAAGTCCAAGGCTGTTTCTTTCCAACATTCTTGAATATATGATTCCTTTGTCTTTAAAAGAATAAACTGGTTAGTAACAAGTGGGGGGAGAGCAAATGATGACCGAGGATTGTTATTTGTGGGTGAACTATCCCTTTAAGATGAACCATCCTTTCAAAGGGTTTTTAATACTCACACATCGCCAGTTATAATAATGAATGATACATATGTTTTAGGCCTTTAAAAACTCCTACTATCACCAAGCAAATAATCACGACTCTAGTTATATAAGCTTATTCATGTATGAATTGTCCAGTTCATCTGACAGCATTTCTGAATCGCTGCTAATAAAAATGTCAGTACACATATAATGATGAAAGTCAAGTTTTCCCAATAAAACTTGAGTAACAGATCCATATGACAAATCTCCTTCGAGCATTTCAAACTCACATGGCTTCATTTTAAAGTTGTGGTTGCTTTAAATGGAGCAACTTTCATACTGTTAACTTGCAGGCATGCTAATCAAATGAACTTAGTGTAATGACACGATTTGACTCGCAAACCTACTATTGTGTTTATTTGGTGCAGATTATTACACTGTTTGATGTTTAATCAGCTATTAAATCACATATCTTTGCGCTTAACATGCTAATAAGCGGTTAGCAAGACAAGTTAATCAAAGTGCTTGAACGTGCACGAGCTAATAGTCATGTTACGAGTATTAAAGCAATGCCAGTGTTCACTCCTAGCTTGCCAAAGACTCTTAGGAGGTTTCTGGTGAGGCCAGAGGAGAGAGATCCAGGCTAAAATAGGAAGGCGACTGACACATGCTTGCTTTCTATTATTAACAATCCAGCGTTCGTGTTTGCAGATGTTATTTCCCGCAACTTACCAATATTCTCTTAAAGAGCGCGTTCTCCTTCGGTGGCAGAGTTATCGAGGGCATGCTTCTGCTTCTTGAGGGTTGTTCACCGCGACTTTTGCTCTGTTCATGAATCGGAATCCTCGATCCTCCAACCGGATTGTCTGCTGTATCGTAAAAGCCCCCCGAACTTCGCTGTCTGGGGCTTCTCGCCTTCACGTGGTGACAGCAGGCCCCCCTATCAGAACCAAAATGGCGACGCTGCTTCTCTCCGGGTCAAACGGTGAACTGCGCATGCGCTGAATGTGCTACATTTCCGAGGCGGGGGTGATACAATGGAAATTAAATGAACCAAAATAAAAATGTGTTATTTTAGAGAATATAAACATAGCACGAAATAAAATAATAGTGTTTTATTAAAGTAGAATTACCACAATATAAAAAATGTAATAATTGTTCTCATATGACATGCATTGCAGCTAAAGATTGTAAAAAAATTGCAGCCACTAGATGGTAATATTTACTTGATAATGTACTTTCGTGTTGGGTTGGGTGTAATTTTGTAGAGGACGAAACCTGCAAAAACAAACAAACAAATGAATAAATAAGTAAATAAATAAATATGTGAATAAATAAGCAATTGATTAAATAAATAAACAAATAAATTAACAAATAAATGCACAAATTCCTGCATAAATCAAACAATAAATGAATAAATAAGCAAATACCTAGATAAATTAATGAATACATTTACAAATTACTCCATAAATCAAACACTAAATAACTTAATACACAAATAAATGAATAAATAAGTACACAAATTCCTGCATAAATAAAACAATAAATAAATAAATACACAAATAAATGAATAAATAAATACACAAATTACTGCATAAATAAAACAATAAAAAATAAATAAATGAACAAATTCACAAATTCCTGCATAATTAAAACAATAAGTAAATGCGCAAATAAATAAATAAACAAATTCCTACATAAAGCAATAAATTAATAAATACACAAATAAATCAATAAATAAATACTCAAATTCCTGCATAAATATAAACAATAAATAAATAATTACACAAATAAATGAACAAGTAAATTAACAAATTACTGCATAAATAAAACAATGAATTGAAAATATTTTGGATTAATTATTTATCTGCGTAATTATTTAATGTTCTATTCATGCAGGAATTTGTGGGTTTTTATATTTATTTATTTATTTGCATATTTATTTATTGTTTTATTTATGCAGAAATTTGTTGATTAATTAATTAATATATTTATTTTCATATTTATTTATTGTTTTTGCAGGTTTCGTCCTCCATACTCTATAGTGATTTCATTCAACAGAAAAAATATCTAATTATAAGTAACACAAACAATTACCATTTATTTTAATTACATCATTATGTAACATTCATTCATTAATTTTCTTTTCGGCTTAGTCCCTTTATTAATCAGGAGGGGTCGCCACAGCGGAAAAACCGCCAACCATATGTTTTACACAACGGATGCCCTTCCAGCTGCTACCCAGTACTGGAAAACACCCATACACACTCATTCATATATTTTATATAGTTGTATCTGTGTTTTTGTTTTGGTTACGTACGTCCACTGTTCCATTTATGTTTTCAATGTAAAAATATGACAATTGCACACGTAATGAACAGTATAGATAGCATTAATTCAACTAAAACACTAAATATTACTTCGGCTGAAAAAAGTGAGTTTTCTCTGTTCTCCAGCTATCTTTCATTCGCGATCGATTACTCTGTGTGCCAATAGATCAGCCAGTCCTCCTATGGGCAGGAACGATAATCGAGCTAAGATCGAATTTTGTGTGAGAGAGAAACGCTGTCAAAATGCCTCTCGGTCGGTTGTTGTTGCGGACTTCTACTGTCAACAAAAGTGAGTACTAGAATGCAAAATATACCTGGTTTACTTTTCATTCCGCGTACATTTTGCTAGGTAGATTTAGTTATTCGTCCGATCTTAGTCAGCAGTTCGGTATGGCCTGACCTTTCTTAGCTTAGCAAGACTAGCAGCAACACAGCAGCCAATCCATTAGCTTTGTACAAATAATGAATTATATGAAGTTAAATACACATTTGTAAAATCCATTTAGCTCTTATATGTGTATGAAAATGTATTTATCATTATCCTTATGACAATTGTCAGCGTTTTATTGTAAATGGCCAGCAAAGGACAAACGTTGTTTTGTATTATTTGTCATTTTAACTGTTCCATATGAATGTATGTTATCACAATAAAAATATGATAGTGTTGTACACCATAACATTGCAAATATGTGGAACATTTACATCACTATGTTATATTATAGAGCTGCTGATTATTATAGATCAGGTCGTGAGCTATCAAACAGCACCCAAACTGTACAGTAAATAAGACAATGTGTTAAATATTAATGATTTATCTTACAGTTGTTAGCAGAAATGCCTATAGAGCCACCAAACCTGATGTCTCCAAGCCGAACATGCTGAGAGTCGGACTGGCATTTGGAAGCACAGTTTTCTTATGGGCACTGGTAACTCATTTCAATCAGCTAACAAGCAGTGTTGGGGAAAGTTACTTTTGAGAGTAATGCATTACAATATTGAGTTACTCTTGTGATAAGAATTAGTAACGTACCACATTAGTTGCCATAAAACGTAACTTAAGTAATGCAATTAGTTATTTTTATGGTAAATAATGTGTTGAGTTACTTTTGCATTAATATATCTTACCTGGCTGAGGCTTGATCTCTTTTAGAACTTGCAGGGGGGTTTGTATGGGGGACGAAACCTGCAAAAGCAATATATAAATTTGCAAATTAATTAATTGATAAAAACACAAATACCTGCATAATTAAAACAATAAATATGCAAATAAATAAATAAATAAATCCACAAATTCCTGCATAAATAAAACAATTAAGAAATAAATACACAAATAAATGAATGTATCTAAAAATCGACAAATTCCTGTATAAATAAATATATAAATAGTATGGGCAGATTTATAATTATGTAAATTACACGGATGTTGGGGGAATAAGAAAATGCTAAACTGAAAGTAGATTCTTCGTCCTTTCACACCGCACTATTAATTATTTATATATTACTTTATGCAGGAATTTGTAGATTTATAGATGCATTCATTTATTTTTTTGCCTATTTATTTATTTATTTATTGTTTTATTTATGCAGGAATTCGTGGGTTTATTAATTAATTCATTTTTTGCACATTTATTTATTTAATATTTTATTTATGCAGGAATTTGTGTATAAATTAATTTATTTATTTGCATATTTATTTATTTATTGTTTTATTTATGCAGGTATTTGTGTTTTTATTAATTAATTGATTTGTTTTCATATTTATGATTTATTAATGCAGGAATTTGTGTATTTAATAATTTATTTATTTATTTTTGCATATTTATTTTTTTTGGTGTTTTGTTTATGCAGGAATTTGTGGATTTATTAATTTGTTTATTAATTCATTTGCATATTTATTCATTTATAATTTTATTTATGCAGGAATTTGTCTTTATTTATTCATTCATTTATTTATTGTTTTATTAATGCAGGAATTTGTGTATTTATTTATTTATTTATTTATTCATTCGTTTATTTATTCATTAATATGTTTATTATTATTTATATTATATTTATATTTATATTATTTATTATGCATAATTTTGCATAATCCTCCGTATAATCACACCCAACCCAGCATGAAAGTGCATTACCAAGTTAATATTACCATCTAGTGGCTACAATACAATATTAATTAATTATTTATTTATTGTTTAATTTATGCAGGGATTTGTAGATTTATGTATACATTTATTTATTTATTTATTTATTTGCGTATTTATTAATTTATTGTTTTATTCATGCTAGAATTTGTTTATTTATTTATTTGCGTATTTATTTATTTATTTATTGTTTTTGCAAGTTTCATCCTACCTAGGTTTCTTTTTCTTCTTCTTCTTTTTTTTTTTTTAAATAGCTTGCGTTACTTGTAATGCCTTACCCTCAATGCTGCTAACAAATATTTGTACAAACATATATTTTTTATTAAGCTTTCCAAACACACTGTCTGTTCCCCACCAGCTGTTCAAACAACACAGCAATGATGTGCAGGAGTACAAAAGAAGGAACGGGTTAGAGTAATTCATAAAGGCCAAGTAAGTAAATTCACCCATATACCATACACTTAAACCGCCTCGGAGATAAATCAGAAACATTGTTCAATATCATTATTTAAGTATTTTTTTTAAATTTTAAGTACATTTTAACTGTTCTGAATTTACATAAGATGCCTTTTTCTTTCGTTTTAGGCCACTGATTGCTCTGTGCTTTGTGGATCGTCTGATTTTCCTGCTTCTGTGTTTCCCTGCTATTGAACGATGTACTAAAATGTTTAATAAAGATGTGTATATATGACTTGCTTCACTTTCACTGACTCTTTCGAACATATCTACTTGAACTCTTTGAAAACCGGCATTACCACTTGTTTCTATGAGACTAATTGATTGTATAATGTCTCAATGCAAATGATGTGATCAAATTTGGCAAGTTGATAATTAGAGTAAGTCCTTTCCATCTTTGTCTTGACAAGAGACCAAAATAAAAACGTTTTATTTTTATGATTTGTGTCATTGTTTCAGATTGCATACCTAACATAGGCTACCTAATGTTAAAAAAGATATATATATATATATATTTATATATTTATATATTTATATATTTATTTATATTTATATACAGTGGAAATCAGAATTATTAGCCCCCCTGAATTATTAGGGCCCCTGTTTATTTTTTCCCCAATTTCTGTTTAACAGAGGGAAGATTGTTTCAACTCATTTCTAAACATAATAGTTTTAATAACTCATCTCTAATAACTGATTTATATTTGTCATGATGACAGTAAATAATATTTGACTAGATATTTTTCAAGACACTTCTATACAGTTTAAAGTCACATTTAAAGGCTTAACTAGGTTAATTAGGTTAAATAGGGAGGTTAGGGTAATTAAGCAAGTTATTGTATAATGATGGTTTGTTCTGTAGACTATTGAAAATAATATAGCTTAAAGGGGCTAATAATTTTGTCCCAAAAATTTTGTTTTAAAAATTAAAATATGCTTTTATTCATGCCGAAATAAAACAAATAAGACTTTCTCCAAAAAAAAAATATTATCAAACATGTTGTGAAAGTATTTATAAATATATAAATAAATAAAATGTGTATATATATATATATATATATATATATATATATATATATATATATATATATATATATATATATATATATATATATATATATATATATAAAACATTTATTTATACAAATAAAATCGTGAAACACTAGGGGGTCTGCCTAATGTAATTATTACCTTCTAGTGACTCTCAGAGGTGTTACACGCCTACTATGTAAAATGCCATATGAAGGGAACACAATGTTTTTGGTTTTTTTTTTTGGGAACACAATGTACACACATGTAAAACTGAAGTCTGGCGCTAGGCAGGCAAGAATGAAGCCATCATGGGAATTGCAAATCTCCACTGATATTTATTTACACACATTTATTACTTAAAAAAGCAAAAGTTGTGAGAGTTGTACATTAATACATGTTCTATAAAAAATCTGCTAAGCAATTCAAGCAGGAGGAGGGTTTACACGAGCGTTTGCCCCGCCCCCTCGTTTTCGCTCCTCCCACTTCTACAGTGTCCGCAGTCATTCAGTCATTCATTGCGCCTCCACTCGACCAGCACGCCGCTTTTCCTCCGTGCCAGTTTGGAAGATGTTTGCGTGCAGAGCAGCCTGGCAGAGGTGTGGGCCCCTGGCACGACAATCCCTGAGCCGGGCACCCCTCGGCAGAGATGGTGAGCACCGTAACGTTATTATCTGTCCCATAAACCTTCAGTTCCTCTTGTAAGTGCAGTGCAAATGCGCTGTAAGCTTTCCGCGTCCTAATAATTGTTAATTTCACACATTTGGAGTTTTGTTTGTATCGAAAGCCGTGTATTATTATCATTATGAGTGTTTAATATGAGGTAACTATTTAAGAAGATGCCATGTGGTTTAGGGTTGAGGGAACGTGAAGGTCAGTCACGACATCCGAGCGTTTTGGTGCTTAACATTACATTTAACAGGGTTTATGTGTAATTATGACCATTTAGCGACTGTCAGGGGTGTTAAACGCCTACTATATTAGCACATGCTAAGACTGTCATTTAAAGGGAACACTGTGTACACACACACACACACACACACACATGTAAAACCACTGCAGCCTGGCACTAAGCAGGCAAGAATGAAGCCATCTTGGACATCGCAAATCTCCACTGACACTCATTATATACACATTTATTACTAAAATAACAATGCTGACAATTCCTTTAGGTGTTCATCTTGTGAAAAGTTAGCGGTGGACTCTTGGACGTGATTTCGATTAATGTTTGTTTTGTCCTCTTCATTTTGTCATCACTTAACGGATTATGAAACACGAACTTGCGTAATAGGGAACCGGCTGAAATCATGCTGAAAACTATTCATACTGGACTTGATCTGTGACCTTCAGCGGTGCCATAGTTTGTTTCTACGTACAGCTCACGTGGTTGTGTACGTGGTCGATGTATAGGCTCGTGCACGCGGACATATGGAACTGTATGGCACGCCATTTTAACACCAACAATGTCATTCCAACAGTACACTTGTTTTAGCTAGTACTGGAAGTATTCATTCAATAGACATTTTATCATAAAAAGTACAATTCTAATAGGACACTTGTTTTAGCCTGTACTGGTATTAGTATCCATTCAATAAACATCATAAACCGTGTCTATTTTCATTCTACCAGTACATTTGTTTCACTATTATTGTCTGGTAGTATCCATTCAAGAGACATTTTATCATAAACCGTACAATTTTTGATTCTAACAGTACACTTGTTTTAGCTAGTACAGGTATTAGACACGGTTTATACTAAAATGTCTATTAAACGAATACTATTTTCATTCTAACAGTACACTTGTTTTCGCTAGTACTTACTAGTATCCATTCAATAGACATTTTAACATCAACAGTGTCAAGTTTCATATGACCAGTACACCTGTTTTAGCTACTACTTAGTACCCCTTCAATAGACATTTTAACATGAACAGTATACATTTCATTTGACCCAGTACACTTGTTTTAGCTACTACTGGTAGTATTTATTAAATATCCTGCTGAAAAAAACAGCTTAAACCAGCCTAAGCTAGTTGTCTGGTCTTAACTGGTCGACCAGCCTGGTTTTAGAAGGATTTTGGCCATTTCCAGGCTGGTTTCAGCCATTTCCAGCCTGGTCTTAGCTAGGAGATGAGCCGCTAAAACCAGCTTGTCCAGCCTAGCCAGGCTGGGAGCCTAGCCAAAACCAGGCAGCTATGTCCAGCTTAAACCAGGCTGGACAAGCTGGTTTTAGCAGGGTTGACATTTTATCATTAACAGTATCAATTTTCATTCCACTAGTACACTAGTTTTAGCTAGTACTGTCTAGTTGTATATATTTAATAGAGATTTTATTAACAGTATAAATTTTCATTTGACCAGTTGTTTTAGTAAGTACTGGTACTAGTATCCATACAATGGACATTTTAACATCAACAGTGTATATTTTCGTTCTACCAGTACACTCGTTTTAGTTACTGTCTATCCATTCAATAGACATTTTATCATTAACAGTGGCAATTTTCATTCTGCTAGTATATAATTGTGTTATACCTAGAAGTATGGTTTCCATTTGGTTTAGATGGGCTACTAGAATACTATTATAAAATACAGCAGCTTTAATTAATCATATACTAAAACTTGACCAAAATCATAATTAATTTTTGCCTTACTGTTTTGATATATAACATCTATGGGAATGTGTTGTTTACATATCAGCTGTTCTAGTTAAGACTATTCTTATTTCTTAGTTCAATACTAGTAGGTATTCATTTGGCTGAATTGCACATGAAAAAAATCTTGCTGCCTTAATTTATTTTAGTTGAGTCAAATTAACTTTTCTAGTCATCTTAACTTAAACAGATTGATTAGAAATATTAAGTTAAACTTTTTCTAAGTTAAAAAATGTAGTTGAAACCTTATTAACTTATTAAAATAGGTTAAAGCAGCGTAAAAATATTTGTTGTCTTGACTTTTTGTCATTACATTTTTTACATTGTCGTGCACAAGCTCTAGTATGCTATTCTGGATACAGCTAGTTTTGTTTGCTTGGAGCTGTCATTTCTATTTTAGAGTTTTAATGACCTTTTGTCTTCTGTTATTGCTATTAATTTATTTATTTATATTTGTTTTTATGATTTTATGCATAGTTTACCACAGGGATTTTTAATTTCACAACCCCACACAGTTTCCTTACCTCAGGGAGCTTCATAGACCCCTGCTGGGAAACCCTGGATGCTTAAATAAACATGTAGACATTCTTAAAGTGAGATTTGGCTTCTTTTGCTTACAAATGCATGCACAAATTGTTGCATGTTTATCAGAGTATTACAATAAAACATTTGAAATGAGCAAAGATATAATGTCTGTCTAAAACAAAATTCTCCTCAAATAGGCATGATAGGATGGAGAGTTTGCTTACACTTGATCAATTGCTTAAAACCTTTCATTTTAATTCTTTGCTTAACAACTCCAATATCAAGCTGTGATTAAATCTCCTTGCAAATAAAGCTCAGGATCAGGGATTTAAGAAAAAAGATCATGGCTTTCAACTAGGCATGGGCCGGTGTAAGTTTCTGACAGAATGATAACCTTGGATAAAAATATCATGGTTTTACGATATCACGATATTGTGATTACTGCTCTTAAATAAGTTTTTTAAATGTCTAAGTAAAAACAACATTAAGCACAATATATTTCATTTTAGGAAACATTTATAATATTTTGGAGCAGTAAACGTGTCAGGCTAAATAATTAAAACAAAAATTGATTTCTGCTATCTTCATTAGTTTCAAAAACACAGATTTCTTTCCAATACATGAGAAAAAAAATACTTAAAAACCCCTTCACATATGCCTTAGTAACAGTACAGCATATTTTTTTTGCGGGTTTAATACCTTGACTTTTCTAAACCGTTGTAAATCGGTTTATGTCCCATGCCTACTTTCAACATGCGGACAACGGTTTCTATGGTGAACTATCATAATATTTTACACTGAAAATATTTGATAATTAACAATTTCCTTATTGGCATTTACTGTTTAATAATGGTTGAGAATTGCATTCTGGGACCTTAATCTCTGCTCTTTTATTGTTGAAAATTTAATTCAACACTTTAGTGACTTTATTGACATTTTAGCAGTTTGAAATTGTTTGTTTTTGCTATATTTGGCTTAAACGTTCTTTGGTGGCTCGCCAATGTGTTAAGATGACTCTAATACATACAATAAGTAAGTTCTTATTGGGAGAAGATTTTATTGAAGACAGTGAACAGTACAGTTCTTCAGCTTTGATGTTAACCTGTCAGTCTTTAAGTAACTTAACCCAAATTACTGTCTGTGAGACACTACTTTAAACAAAGGATATGACCCCCCGGAGATTTCCCAACTGGTTTGGTTGGGTCACAACTCTCGAGTTCCTGTAGGCCATTTGGTTCACACCTGTTTTTCAGATGCAGAAACCTGTTTGCATATGAAGCAAGCCATACAATCTCTCAAAATAAAATAATGTATCAGAAATAATATACAGAGATATGCGTCTGTAAAAAAACATTTAAAAAATAAACAACACCACCTCAGACAATATATTACTTTAAACCAGTGGTCACCAAACTTGTTCCTGGAGGGCCGGTGTCCTGCAGATTTTAGCTCCAACCCTAATCAAACACACCTGAACAAGCTAATCAAGGTCTTACTAGGTATACTTGAAACATCAAAGCAGGTGTATTGAGGCAAGTTGGAGCTAAACCCTGCAGGGACACCAGCCCTCCAGGACTGAGATTGGTGACCCCTGCTTTAAACTATTAAAAATATTAATAAAAGTCACTTTTTCAAACTTTAAGGTCAAACGTTGTTGGAAGGTAGATCAAGGTCCCATAATGCAATTTAAAACCATTAATGAATGGGGAAAATAAAGAAAATAAAATCATAAATCACAAAATATGGAACGCTGTAAATTCAGATATTTATTGTCAAAGTAAAGTAAAGTACAGAATTGACTTGAATGAAATAACCTGTAAGCCGAATCAGTATCTAAAAAACCATTTGTTTATTCACTGTATCAACACTGCTAGGTGTCGGTTATGACTGCCATATTGTGTGAAATATGATTAGTTAGCACTTATGAAGTTCTCTTGAAACATGATTAGCATCTGACATTGAAAAGTCGGGTTTTTCCTCAGTAGAACTTCTCACTTTTTGTTTCACCCTTTAGCTCTTGGGAAAGATTAACAGATTAGCTGGTATAAATAACACAGAGGTGTCTAGAACCAATTTACTCTGGCTGGGCACAAGTGACTGGATTAGCTTAATGAGAAGATTGACGGTACTCCTGGGAAAAAAAATCTCTCCTTTGTGTCAGAATGGTCTTTGTCCTCCAGGCCTGAATGCACCGCTAGTTTTCTAGATTTTTTTTTTTTTTTTGAAGCATTAAGGAGACAGTTTTAATAAGCGGAAATATGTGAGATTTGTGGAGTCACGGTAAAGTTTATCCATAATAAAGTGAAAGTTTATTATTTGCATGTCTTTTGAGTTATGTAAGCATTTTAAGAGAGTTAAAGCATTTATGAACAAAGGTGATGTTTATAATTTTAATAAAGATGAATTATTTATTCAATGAACACTATACAGTGTTATTTTACATTTGATTATACAATTTCTGCACCTGAATGCTCCCTCAAACAATAAAGCGCTGTTATTTGACTTTTCTCTTTGCTCTATTGTATTTATCTAAGCTTGTAATTTGTTTATTAAATTTGATGCATTGATCCAATCAATCTAATTTAAAGAATTCTGCCTATTCAAGTCAACAAATTGTATTAATATTGCAATATATATCGCAGAAGAACAAAATATGATCATTTCTGATTTTCTTCAACATCATACAGCCAAAGTATGAAACTAAATATTGGATGATTATACAATTATCCATATAAGAAAACAGACAACATTATGATGCATAGGCATAAGTTTATCATTTCTAAATGGTTGTCGTGTAAATTGTATTTCAAGTCGATTTATTACATCACAACCATGTAAAAATTCAATATCTAATCTAGTGTAATTCTGAACCAGGATAATGCTAAAATGCCACACTGTTAACATAAATGACAAGGTATTCATCTGTAATATGAACTATATTTAACTGTACGACAGTTATGCAGTATTTGACTGTATTTTAAATGTGAAAATTACTGTATATTTTACAAATATACAATACTGTTAATACATGGAGCAAGATAATAGGTGCTGTTAATGTAAATACAGTATTTTTGCTGTAATTGATTTACAGTAAGTTACTACCGAACTGCTGACAGTAAGTTACTCTAGATTCTACAGGAAATTGTTAACTGTGCGTGTTCAAAATCTAGATGAATGCTGGCAGGCATATTTATAGGTAGCTAAAACCATTGCACAGAATCCAATCAGGCAGTGACCTACTGGGCAGAAAGCAGCTCACAACGTCGCTACGACTGACACATGGAGGATACTCTCTGTGCCAGGCCCTTTAACTAGGATAAGGCAAGGCAAGGCAAGTTTATTTATATAGCACATTTCATACACAGTGGCAATTCAAAGTGCTTTACATAAACAGGAATAAAAAAGACAAGTTTAGGAACATAAAATGCAGACAATAAAAATTATTAAAAACAGATAAAAACATATTAAAATGAGTTAAAATAGGTTATAAAAGAATGAAAAAGAAAACGAAAAACATAATAGTGCGATCTGTCGGACGCAGCACAGTGCTCATTCAGTAAAGGCACAGCTAAACAGATGTGTTTTCAGTCTTGATTTGAATGTGCCTAATGTTGGAGCACATCTGATCATTTCTGGAAGCTGATTCCAGCAGTGAGGAGCATAGTGGCTGAAGTTAAGATAAGTTCTACTAGGCATGTCATGATATCTATTTTTTGTTGTACGATATATTGCACCAAAATATATTGTGATAGATGATATTATTGTCATTTTTAAGGCCATATAATGATAATTCTATAACAGAATGACAATATTATATCATCACAATGCAAGTGCACTCTTCCAAAGAACAGATAATATTTTTTCTTAAGAATATTTCATTTATTTATAGTCATTTTAACAATTTAATAATGAGGCATTGTTATCAGAATGCAGAAAATGCATATCCTAAATAAATAAGAATAAATGTTAACAAAAAAGTGCAAGGTTAAGAGTAACAGAGGCTGCAATATCTGCTACCAGATCTATGTTCAGCTGTCAGACACCCACATGAAAATATACTACAGTAATTTACAGTAAATACTGTAGTGTTTTTTTTACCATACTGACCCTGACACCTCCAGTAGAGATGGAGATGTTGCACAATTAGCTAAAATGTTGCTAGAGTTGGTTTTTATGTATTGGTGATGTATATTGCATCACCAAATATGATTGAGGTCATGTCCATGTGTTATGTGAGAAGTCCATATATTGATTATTGTGACAGGCCCAAGTTCAACAAAGTAGGAACATTTTGTCATACACGCACCATAATGCCAATCCAAACCCTAAGAACCACCATAAGAGAGATTTATGTCCTTTCTTATTATTGGGTGTCTGTTTACCCAAAACTCTGACTCTTCAAAACATTAATACAGAGTTCAAATGGTCAAATTTAATCCATTTGACAGTACTATTTGTGTGTGTGGTTTAATCCAGTTCTTTCTAAAAAATACCCGATTACTTTATATTAAAATGTTTATTTCAGACTTTATCCACATTATAAACATTGATCAGCAAACAAAAAGTTTAATTCAGAAAAAATAGCCTACTCGTTTTTGAAAAGGTTTCTTCTTTAATAATATGTGAGCCTGGACCTTAAAACCAGTCATAATGCTCAGCTCTTTAAAATTTTTATACATTAAGTTTAGCTAAATAACTTTCCATTAAAGTATAGTTTGTTAGGACAATTTTTGTCTTTAATGCAACTATTTTAAAATCTGGAATTGGAGAGTTAAATAATCTAGATATTGAGAAAATTTGCTTAAAAATTGTCAAAATTAAGTTTTTATCAACATATTAATAAGCTTTGATATATTTACTGTGGGAAATTTACGAAATGTCTTCAGGGAGCATGATCTTTACAAAATTGTCTGATGATTTTTGCCATTAAAACAAGATTTTGACTCCTACAGTGTATTTCTGCCTATCACCAGTATACCCACTCACCGTAAGACTGGTTTCGGTTTTAATGTTAATTATAAATTAAAGCAGGGGTGTTCAAACTTGGTCTTGGAGGGCCGGTGCCCTGCTGAGGTTAGCTCCAACTTACTTCAACACGCCTGCCAGGAAGTTTCCTGTATATCTAAGAGCTTAACTAACTGGTTCAGGTGTGTTTGATTAGGGGTGGAGCTAAACTCTCCTGGAGCCCCCCTCAACTCCCCCCCCAACCCCCCGAGCTGTCATTAACATATCTGAAAGCTGTAACATTGTTTGATTATCAGTGTTTATATGTGAATAGAAGCCTGATGCCGCGGTCACACTCCAGTTTGAGCATGCGAAATTCTGTCGTGAGGCGCTGCAAAAAGGGGCGGGGTTAAACAAGATGGTTAAACATTTAAAAAAGCAAGCGATTGGTTCATTTCTGTTCAGAGAGGTCATGTTTTGATCTTCGATTAGTCTTACACAGTCACATGATGCCATTTCGCAGGTCAGAGTTCACCAAGCTTAAACTTTACACCGCAGTGAACTGCGAAACTTGTTACACGAGCTTGCATTTCCGGTCTGACGCATTTGTGTGCGTATGAATAGAAGTCTATGAGGAGAAGAGTCCAGTGTGACAGCGACTTAAGATGAATATAATCCTATAAAGAATTATATCTTTTTCATGTCAATATCTCTGACTATATCGCTCAAATGTTCTTAATTGTGACGAACCTAGTTTCAACTCAGAATCTGAAAACTCTTGTTTCTCTGTGCAGTCACTCCACGGAGGCTCATGTCATCGGTTCCCGGCGGCTCCGGTGAGAACATCGTCTATGTGGTCCTTTGCGGTGGAGCATTCGTTGGTGCTGTAACATATGTAAGTCTGGTTCACTTATAGTGTTTTGGGATAGTTCACCTCGAAAAATCTTTTTTTTTTTAAATGTCAGACCAAAATACAGGGAAAAATACAGACTCTGACACATTACAATGTCAGCAATCAAACAAACCATAAAAAAAGAGATTTAAAATAAAATAAATCTATGGGCAGCATGGTGGCTCAGTGATTGCACTGTCACCTCACAGCAAATTCCTCGTATATCAAGGGTCACCACAGCGGAATGAACCGCCAACTTATCCAGCATATGTTTTATGCAGTGGATGCCCTTCCAGCTGCAACACAGTACTGGGAACCGATACACTCTCACATTCACACATACACTAGGGCCAATTCAGTTCATCGAGTTTACTTATAGCGCATGTCTTTGGACTCTGGGGGAAACCGGAGCACCAGGAGGAAACCCACACCAACACGGGGAGAACATGCAAACTCTACACAGAAATGCCAACTAACCGAGCCGAGACTCGAACCAGCGACCTTCTTGCTGTGAGGTGACAGCGCTAATCACTGAGCCACCGTGTTGCCCCATTTTGGTGAACTGTCAGTTAAAAAAAAATTATTGAATGAATTGGTCTTTTTTTTTAATTCCCTTGTAGGCATATAGGACGGTTACGGCAGACCAGCAACGTTACATTGACCGTGTTTCTGAAATTAGTGCTCGTCCCAGGTCTGAGTGGAAGCCCAAACCATGGCCACCCAAGAGTAAGTGTTGTGGCATGTCAGTTCTGCTTTAGTAAATAAATACAAGATTTTGTTATAGTAGTATCCATAACTGTATGTCGAGACGTTGGTAATATAGTCCAGTATTATTGTGAAACAACAAAATTTATAATATAATTGCAGAAACATTGTTTACTTTTGGTCTAGCTGAAAGTTATCCCTCCTTTGTTTTATTTAACCAGGATGGAAAAATGCACAGAAAAACAAAGTTCATAGAAAATAAATGAAACATTGTCTAGATTATAATAAACTTATTAATATTTCATTGTTTTCCTCTTTTGTTTGATCAGCAGCCATTCTCATGCACATTCCTCAATAAGTGTGTTTCCTTGCTTTTTACCTCGAGTCACAATTGAAGCAATGGAAACCCAGTACAAAATGTTCACTCTCAGAACACTATTACACAACATGCTTATGAAATTGACATCAACATAATATTGCATAAATATGTTAGAAGAAATGCTGAATATATAGATGCTTTTCTTGGGCCAGACTTTTGGCAACCATTGCATGTTAAACATGATTAGATTTACAGTCAGAAAATCATTTGGCATTGTGCTGACATAAAAATACTATATACTAGGGGTGTAACAACACACTGAAGTCATGGTTCGCTACGTACCTCGGTTTTTGAGTCATGGTTCGATATGGGTACAGAACAACAGAAATAAGCAACAAATGCCCAGTGCTTGTTAATCTGTAAGTTTGTTCATTTTGAACAGGCAGAAGTGTTTTGGCACAATCAGCTACAGAACTGAAGAGCTTCTTGAGATGTAAAAGTGCAAAATAAACACAATAATGACTAATTAAACTTTATAATAAGTAGTGTTGCTGGCAACTGGTATGCACTGGACTGAAATAGCATGAATTTCGGTGCCACTGGTGCTGCGACAAGGACGTAAGAAGCATCAAGGGGTTCCTCAAAGGAACATATAGGTATGAGTTGTCACACCAAAACATTTGAATCTAAACAAATCTCTGTTCTGGTTCGGATCATGTTCTCACCACAAACAAACTGCTCCAGGGTTCGTTTGAAAGTGTACCAAGACCGCCTCTACCAAGATCCGAGGTCTTGGTACGCTTAATTGGTCCGCTTTTTGTGCACACTCGAGTGCGATTGCTACCTTCACACCTGCCCAAATGAACCCCACCAAGAGGGAAAACTACCTCTGTGATTGAACCGAACTAAGGCAGGTGAGAGAGCACACTTAGAAAGAACTAGGTTTTCTGTTCAGGATAAACCTGACAGGTTTTATGACTCTTTGCTATACTTTTTACACAGTATTTTGAAAGTGACAAGATTTAGGGTGTTTTCACACCTGCCTTATTTAGTTCGGTTGAATCGCAATAGAGTTCGTTTTCCCTCTTGGTGCTGTTCGTTTGTGCAGGTGAGAATGCAGCAATCGTACTCAAGTGCGCACCAAAAGCAGACCAAAAAAGCGTACCGAGACCTGCTTGAAGAGGTGGTCTCGGTATGCTCTTAAGCGAACGCTGGAGCGGTCCGTTTGTGGTGAGAACATGATCCGAACTTAAACAGACCCACCGCAAAAGGTACTGCGCCTTTTTGGACTAATCCAGCTGCCGTAGGCCGATGCGCTGTGCATTATGGAATGTAGAGGAAATATATTCGTTGACAGCACTTTACCAACAGAGAGAGAAAGAGAGGGAAAACATTACCTGATGGATCATTGGTAATATTTCTGGAAGATGACCATGTTGCAGTTTGGCTAAATTAATTCACGCCTTATCCTGAAACGACTTGCGATGCATTACAACATTATTTTCCAGCCGCAGCTGCGCTTCATTCTCAATGTCAAGTTTGTCTAAAGTGATGTATACAAATATATAGTATACTATAAGCAGGGATACCAATAGCCAGCACTGTCGTAGTTCCTTAGTCAAAAGTGACATTTTGTGTCGGCCGGTTTGTTTACTTGTGGGAGTTCCATTGGCATTTTCCTTGCACGTGAATTTTGACCAGTCAATAAGCAGTTTAGGAAATACTATCAATAACATCTGGCCAATGAGTGATGTGAGTTTTGTCAGATGTCTGCATTTTGGTTCTTTTCAACTGGTTCGGACCAAAGCAATCAGTGTGGTGTGAAAAGGGCCCAAAGACATCACAAAATGCTACAATGTATCATTTATTGCCCTTGGTCAGGACCAAATAAAGCGAACTACAGATGTAAACGCACCCCCCCCCCCCCCCAATTTATAAATGTAATTTCATGAAAACATATCTTTCCTGTCAAATTCTGTGACTATAACGCACAACAACTATTCTTAATTATGATGGGCCTAGACTCAACTCAGAATCTGAACGCCCAAAAAAATATTTAATTATTTGTTAAAAATTTATAAGGTATTAGTTTAGAAATTAGTTTTTTTTTATTCTTTTTTTAAAAAATTTTTTTGGTATATGGCAATGGGTAAATCTTATTTAAAATATGAAGATTTAGTAGTTACGTACAGTATTGTAATGTATACAATATTTAGAATTTATGAGTTTATATTTTCAGAAACAATAAAGACTATTTTTTTTTTCAAAATGTTACAGTGAAGGTAGTAAAAATCCTAGTTCAATCCAAAATAAAGTGAGTTTCTGTGCAGATGTCATTTGATAATTTATTGTAGCTCTTCCCATATATTAGAATTGCAACCCACAACAAAGTCAAAAGTTATGTTGAGGATGTTTGGCACTGTCTGAAATGTATCTTCTGGTCATTACAGTAATGTCAGACAGCTGATGATTGTTTACTATCACTGTCCTGCCAAATCCCTTTCCACAGCAATAAATAATTGCATTATATCCAAACATCTTTAACACTCCTGCATCTGAGCCAGAGCACTATTAAACAGTCTTATCTGAGTGACACCGCGGTAAACACACTCTTATTCAAGCAGTATTAATAATTCAAGTAATATTAAAAGTGGTGTTGTGTGGTTTGATGTGAGTGACAGCTGATTGTGTAATGTACTATTATTGAATGTTTTTTTTGTGTGTGCTTTTTTAGGTGAAGGGAACGGCGATGGTGAGTTAATATGATTTTATTTCTGATACATCTTAATGTACCTTAATAAATAACATCACATTAATATTAAAATTGCATTTGTATCACTTAAATGATAATATAACAAGCATTTGTCTTAAAAACAAATGCATACATTAAGTGAGTTTTGCTAACTAATGAATGCTGAATGCTAACAAGTGTGTTTGAGTTATTTGTGTAATCTGGAAGTTTATGATGTCATTGGTTTCTCAAGGTGAAATAAATGAAAGCGACATCTCCCATTCAGTCGATCCTGATATTTATTACCCAATATCTTTAATAAACCCTTTACAAATTTTAGGTAAACTTAGTTTATTATGAGCTCTTCTGATTAATAGATGCTCAATGCCAAGTAGGATCGACTATTACAGATAGAGTTTTACAAATGATGCTGTAAACTCTATGTGGATATAAAACAGCTGGGGCCAGATTTACTGACAGTTTGTTCCCATGTAAACACTTCATTATAAAAATAAAAAGTCTGCACTTTCTAAAAATGCACAATGACAGTTGTGTGTATTTAACTGAATACATATGCACTTGTTGGGAGTTTTCTTTCCGGTGAAAATTTTGTGGGAGTAGAGTTTCATGCAATGTGATTTACCAAGGTTTGTGTCATTTGGCAATACCCAATGAAAGCCAAAAATGGTTTGAGAAATCTATTACACCGTAATTCTACAATTTCCAAAATGCTTCAGGTGGTACTCACTGCAGAGCCACTTGGGCAGAGCTGAGCTCCAGGTGTACGCAATAAAACAGCTTATAGGAGGAGGAGTTGGAGCTCAAGCTCCCCCTCACTGGAGCCCAAGTGGCTCTGCAGTGAGTAGTGTCTCAAATGCTTCGCTATTTTCTCTTTAACTGATTCTGAGCTTAGTTTTTAACAGCAGTTAGCGCACTAGGCTATTTTTTAATAGCAGATGATGATCTAGGCTGGTTTGTAACAGCGGATGGCTCTCTATGCTAGTTTTAACGGCAAATGATGGGCCTCTAGGTTAGCTTTAACAACACATTGCGCTCTAGACTAGTTTTTAACAGCAGATGATGACGTTTTAGACTAGTTTTTAACAGTAGATGGCCCTCTAGGTTAATTTTTAACAGCAGATGGTGCTCTATGCTAGTTTTAACAGCAAATGATGGTGCTCTAGGCTAGTTTTAACAGCACATTGCGCTCCAGACTAGTTTTTAAAAGTAGATTATGGTGCTCTAGACTAGTTTTTAACAGCAGATGGCACTCTAGGCTAGGTGTAACAGCAGATGATGAAGCTCAAGGCTAGATTTTAACTGTAGATGATGGCGCTCTAGACTATTTTTTAACAGCAGATGGCGCTCTAGGCTAATGTAACAGTAGATGATAATGCTCTAGGCTAGTTGTCAACATCAGATGATGGTGCTCTAGGCTAGTTTTTGACAGCACATGGTGCTCTAGGGTCGTTTTTAACAGCAAATAGTGCTTTAGACAGGTTTTTGACAGTAAATAATGGTGCTCTAGGCTAGACTACCACTTTTGTGGTAGTGTAAACAGCTCACTATATAGACTCTTGTAATTTGCCTAAGGGGGGTTGCACACCAGAAGGCCGCTCGGCGACGCACCACGTCGCACCATGCATTTAAGAATTCTAAACACAGGTTTCTATCAGGGTACACACACTGGCGCTGTAAGTCTGCGGTTGTCCACGGTGCCCAGCCACAATTCATGATACTGTTCATATTTCTGCTGCGCCAGAGCGCCATCTGAATAGTTTCATTTAAAATGCGAATGTACGTCTATGGTGTGCCATTCTTTCAACTGTCATGTGTGCGCCGTGTTGCGTCACAGAGTGCTGCATCTAGTGTGCGACCCGCTTTACCCTTTCCTAACTTTATTAATGATTATTTTAGGTTCATGTGGGATTTGTATGGAATTGAATAGAAGTAGACTACACTGTTTGTGACTCATACAGCACCATCTGCTGCTAAAAACGCAGCTCAGAATCAATTCAAGAGAGAATATTGATGCATTTTCTCAATGCAGAATAGAATGCAAGTCTCAATGCAGAATAGAATTTCTGAAACTATTTTTTGCTAATGCTCTGTCAGTTGTTGTAGACTGAAGAACACCGACAGCAGAATGCACATTTTTAGAAAATGCTCATGTTCATTTATTTTGAGTGCAAGAAGATAATGTTACTCCAACATGTCGATTACCATTTGTGTTGGACATATATGTTGTTGTTTTTCAGATCTTTTAGGATTGCACTCTTACTAATTTGCCCTGTTTAGTAAATCTGGCCCTTAAAGGGATAGCTCACCCAATAATTTCTTCATTTACTCGCCCTCAAGTGGTTCTAAATAATAATGAATTTCTCTTCTGTTGAACACAAAACAAAATATTCTAAAGAATAATGGAAACCAGCAGCCATTGACATCCTTAATCAAAACGAAAAATACTATAGTAGTTAATGGATGCTGCTTTCCATCATTCCTCAAAATTCAGAAGAAATAAACAACTCAGTTTTGTGATGGGTAAATGATGACAGGACTTGTATTTTTGTGTAAACTATCCCTTTAATGGATTATCTGGAGTGCTGCAGGTTTTAAAATATCCAGTCACTGAATGTTAAAACCCTAAAAGTCAGCTATCAAAAAGCCTCGTTTATTGATATTTTCTTTCCTTGGTGTTGTTGGATTGAGATTGGGTTGAGTAGTTGTCCTCCTGTCCTGCCCTTCTTACCCTCCTGATCCCCTGATCCTATTTGCCAGAAAGCCTGTTAATCAGAACCGGCTGTCCCTCTCTGACACTGTCACTTTCCTCCTGAATAAACTGTGTATATGATCTGTCTGCACTTCATTCTCTCACAACCCTCTTTCTCCAGAGTGTATTTACACGGCATCAGTGTACTGCTAATAATAGAGTTCACCTTTGTTTAAGCATCATACAAGTATAATATTCTTTGGTTAAAGGAGGCCTTTTATGCAAAACACACTATTATAGGGGGTTTAAACAGTTGTGTGGCAACAGTGTGTGACTATAATCAGCTTTTAATGGTAAACATGTATTCATTTTATTTTTTTATTATCACACTTGATAAAAACAGTTCGCAGAAACACTTTGATTGACATTCTCCCTATGTACGTGTCATCAGAGGGGAAAAGCCCCGCCCATTAGTGACCATCTCACCCTCATTAGCATATGTTAATCTGGTTTTGAATCTGCCTCTATGCTGACACACAGGCATTTGTAACTCAGCCCACTTTTAAAAAGAGCACACTCTTATTTGAATTTAAAGCGACAGTCACCAAAATGCCTCAATTTAGATCAAAGCCTGTTTCAAAGAGTTATAAAAGATTATTTGCATGGTATTATGAGCTGAAATCACTCTAAGGACATCAGAGAATTATTTTACATTTCATAAAAAGGGGCGTAATGGGTCCACTTTAAGAAATACACAAATGCACTTTATTGGAATTGTACTATACACCTAGACATCACCTTTTGGAAAGGACACTATATATTGTATAACTGCAGGTTAACTATTTTTACATGTAATGTAATAACTTGCACCTTTTGTAAAGCTGCTTTGCAATAGTAAACTTGAATTTGCATAGATCCACGTAAATCTACTGAGTTCCATAGTATTTTTTTATTTCCTACTATGGAAGTCAATGGGTGCCATCAACTAGCATTTTCCAAATTATCTGCTTTTGTGTTTAGCAGAAGAAAGAAACCTCATAAAGGTTTAAAACCACATAAGGGACAATTATCGGTGAGGCAATTTTCATTTGTGTATGTGTGAACTGCCCCTTGAAGCCCTGAATTAAATCAAACAATCCACATCAAAATACCTTTTCTTACCTGAGATGCACTTAAACCAGTTTTATTTTACTTCAATACATATTTAAGGTACTTTAAATGACCGTATGAACTGTTCTTTTTGAAGCATAACCTTTAAAACTCTATTCAAGACCCCCAAAACATTGTCCTATCAATCAAAGACCAATGTGAATAAAAAGATTTATACATTTTTGTAGAAAATGGTGTCGTGTAACTGCCTCTGATATCACTGTATTCCAGTTTCAGACAGCCAATATAATTATTAACATGAAGCACAGTTTATACTAAGGTCTATCATATGTCATAATATCCCAGCAGGCATTTTTTATGTTAATAAAACAGTAGATGTTCAAAGGCCTCATTTACACTGCCAGTTAAATGTAATCCAATTCCGCGCGATGCATATCGGATCTGTTCTATGACCATGTAAACACATAAAAAACGAATGCATTCGAATATTTAGAGATCGGTTTCAGGCCTCCTTCATATGTGCGAATTAATCAGATATAGATCGGATATGTGACAATGGGACTATCATGTAAACCAGATTTATTGAGGCGTTTCGTTTTCTACGTTATTAAACTTGCAACATTGTAGTACTTCTCCGTGGTTTAATGATGTAGAAGGAAGAGAGTGTGTAGAGATGCCGACGCAGTAAACAACAACAGAGAAAACATGGAGAAGGAAAGTGGTCAGGGTCCCACCAGACCTAAGATCTCTCTCATACCCACAAATTCCTCTAAATGGTGGAGGACACCATAAATAAACTATAGGATCAAGCTATAATGATGGCACTTTCTCTTTCTCCTCCACCTCAAAATTATTTTAAAGTTGGGCGAACTTCACATATTTCGCAGAGCTAAAAGCAAGACAATTTCTTCCATTGTGTCTAGTGTGGCGCAGATGCTGGAACCCGCAGTTACGCATACGCAACATCGTAAATTGTATGGCAAGTGTAAACCAGGGGTCACCAACCCTGTTCCTGGAGAGCGACCTTCCTGCACATTTCAGTTGCAACCCTGACCAAACACACCTGTTTGTAATTATCAAGTGCTGCTTTAGGTACTATTAATTGGTTCAGGTGTGTTTGATGAGGGTTGGGACTGAGTTCTGCAGGAACAGGGTTGGTGACTCCTGGTGTAAGCGCATGAATGGGATATGGGTCACGATTTAAAGAACGTGTAAACGCACAGGCAAAAAAAAATCAGATGCAGGCAACAAATTGGAATTGGGCATCAAGACCTGACAGTGTAAACGCAGCCTAATAGATGTCTAGACTAAAACAAGGCTAATTTTAAACAAGACGTTTAGGCTAAATTTGGGCTGTCAGTGGACAGATCTGCAGGCTGTGTGTGTTCTAACGCCCCATTATAGTGAAGGGGACTCTATACTGCTCGATCAACGCTGTCTTTCGGATGAGATGTTAAACCGAGGTCCTGACTCTCTTTGGTCATTAAAAATCCCAGGATGTCCTTCTATAAAGAGTCAGGGTTTAACCCTGACATCCTTTCCAAATTTGCTCACTGGCCCTTGTCCAACATGGCCTCCTAACCATCCCCATATGACAGTTGGCTTCTTCACTCTGTCTCCTTTCCACCAATCAACTGGTGTGTGGTGTGCAGTCTAGCGTATTATGGCCCCCTGATTAGGAGATTCCCTCAATGTGTAAAGTGCTTTGAGTGTCCAGAAAAGCGCTGTACAAATGTAATTAATTATTATTATTATTTTTATTACGTCTAATAGATGTCTAACAATATCCCAAAAATAGACTAGTCATCAAATAGACAGGAATGAATGACTGCACATGTAAAGCTGGTCTGTTTGATGACTAGTCTGTTTTTGGACGTCTGTTAGATGTCCACTGGCAGCCCAAATTCAGTCTAGTTTTAGCAAAGACGTCTCATGTGTAGATGGTTATTAGACATCTTTTCAACACAAAAGTGCTTGGTGGGATTAAACCACCAACTCAGAACTTGAACTAATCCTTTTCCTAACTTTTCCTAACCATCTCTTTGTTCTGACCTTTTTCCAGAGTAAACTAATTGGGACATTCGCGGCTGAACACCTTTAGTCTTCAGTCAGGACTTTTTTTGGATGATTCTCTCCTGAGCTCATGCCATTATGAGTCCTGCTTTTGCCATTGAACTGATATCTCTTTTATTTTAAAGTTAGTTTCCCCCATTCTCTTCTTAAGCAAGCACGGCATTAGCAATGCCAAGATTAAGAGTTTGATCCCCACAGAAAGCAAAGAACTGATTAGATGTGTCCCATGAATGCAATGTAAACGCATAAATGTAATGTAGATTGGTGGAAGATGTAAAAGAAAGCCTCACCTCTTTGAGTTCACTTAATAAACACGCACAACGAAGCTGCTCTGGTTGTTATTGTGTGATGCTGGAGTTCAGAGTTGCTGCTAAGTTTAAGCGGATGGTAAGGCTCAGATATCTTTGTATTCCCTCTTTTCACCGGCTCCTCTTTTCTCCTGTTGTTTCTTTTTCACCTCCCTCCTCATTCGTGAGTTCTGCATGCTGCCTGCTCTGAATGACTGCGTTGTGAGTGATTTTGAGTTGTTTTTTTAACCTGTTTGATGGAAGCTTTCCTGGAGGTTTGGTAAGTTGGGTGCTGTGCGAGTTAGAGGCTTTAAACGGCATGGTGGAAATGTTAATGTTTTATATGATGTTTGAATCCAGTTATTTAGTTAGCTATAATGATATTCCATCGTAAATACCATGCAATTTATTTAAATTATAAGTCTTGAAATAAACTTAATGTAATTATTGAAGTATTAAATTAATAATAAATATATTTTAAATAATTGTTTTCTCATTTAAATTTACATAGAAAATACATTCTCCCACTTCACTCAGAAAGGTAATACATTAGTTAATTATATTAGTATATTTGAACTATTTTTTTGTTAATTAGGTAATTTATTTATTATTATTATTATTATTTGTTATTATAATTTATTTATTTATTTTTTAATAACTTTTGAATATTATTTTACTTGATTCTTATCTGAGTATATTAATCTAAGTACATTGACAAACTCATTAAGCAACAATAAATGTACAGGTTGCATTTTATCTCTATTTGCATTACTATAAGTTAGTTATACTATGTTGTTATTTATATAATAAAAACTATCTATCTATTTAGATATTTTTTCTTCAGTTAAATTACATTAGTAAATACATCCTGACTCTTTACTCACAAAAGTAACACATTAGTTAATTATATTAGTTAAGTTGTACTAACTAACTAACTACACTGTAAAAACTGCAGGGTCCCACATAATTCCTTCATGTTGTCCCAAAACCCAAAATAATGATCGATTGAATAAGTTGCCTTAAATAATTTTACAAATTTAAGTAGATTAAACATAAAACAATTAAGTTGTCCCAAAATTATCTCAAGAATTATATTGAAAATATATATATATATATATATATATATATATATATATATATATATATATATATATATATATATAGTTGAAGTCAGAATAATTATATTTCTGTTTAACAGAGAGAAGATGTTTTCGGAACATTTCTAAACATAATAGTTTTAATAACTCAACTCTAATAACTGATTTATTTTATCTTTGCCATGATGATGGTAAATAATATTTTACTAAATATTTTCAGGACACTTCTATACAGCTTAAAGTGACATTTAAAGGCTTAACTAGGTTATTTAGGCAGGTTAGGGTAATTAGGCAAGTTATTGTATAAAGGTTTGTTCTGTAGACTATCGAAATAATATATAGCTTAAAGGGGCTAATAATTTTGACCTTAAAATGGTGTTTAAAAAGTTGCTTTTAAAAAAATGCTTTTATTCTGGCCAAAATAAAACAAATAAGACTTTCTCCAGAAGAACAAATATTATCAGACATGCTGTGAAAATTTCCTTTCACTGTTAAACATAATTTGGGAAATATTTAAAAAAGAAAGGAGGTTTAATAATTATAACTTCAACTATATATATCTGAGTATATTATGCAAGTACATTAACAACCTCACATTAGGCAACAATAAATGTCTAGGTAGCGTTTTACATCTAAATGAAAAGCTAAAATTTGCAATATCTATAATGATGCCATTTGCATTCAATAACATAAAGTCTGTGTTAAGAAATGCCTTAGTTGAGCTTTTTACCTAAAAAGGTTAATTGATATTAATAAAAATAATAGAGAAAAAATGGGATTTATTATATAAATGGTAATGTGATTATATAATGATTTATGTCAAAATAAAATTATTAAAGTTGTGTTAACAAATAGCTTTTGAAGTAATTAATTTTTTTAAATTATTATTTATTTATTCATTCATTTTACTTCAGCTTAGTCCCTTTATTCATCAGGTGTTGTCACAGCGGAATAAACCGCCAACTTATCCAGCATATGTTTTACACACGGATGCCCTTCCAGCTGCAGCCCAGTGCAAGGAAACATCCACACACACACACACACACACACACACACACACACACACACACACACACACACACCGGCCAATTTAGTTAATCTAATTCTTCTATTGTGCACGTCTTTAAATTGTGGGGGAAACCGGAGCACCTTGAGGAAACCCGTGCTAACACTGGGAGAACATGCAAACTCCACACAGAAATGCCTACCGGTCCAGCCGGGACTCGACCCAGCAACCTTCTAGCTGTGAGGTGACAGTGCTAACCACTAAGCCACCGTGTCGCCTTTTTCATATTAATAAACAAATTATAAGTTGCAACTTTTTGCAAAAAGATGCATCTGAGAGGTTCTCTTAAAATCAGCATTTTTTTCAGTCTCCTGTGTGTCAGTTTAGTAATCTCACTTTTATAGCAAATAACAGGTTCTTTTCAGTGTGTTTAAAATGAAATAAGTGCACAAAAACATTGGAGACTGTGAAAAATGCGTATTTTACAAGATCATTTCAGAGAACACTTAAGAAATCTGAACTCTTAAAATTGTGTCCTGAGAAAATTATTTTATTTTTATTTCTTAAATTCGCAAAGTAAACAATATACATACTACTTAAAAAACAAAGGGGATGCCTTTCAAAAAATATGGATGCCTCTAATGATCCTCTGACTCTATGAACACATCTGATGTATTTTCACAATATGTGTGACCTTAATCACTGCATAACTTTGTGTATTATGTTTTATTTTTATTTTTTTTGTATTTTGTTGGTATGTTTATTTATTTTTTTATTATTATTATTTTGAAATAATTTAATTATAGATTTTTTTTTCTCTTTGCCTTTTGCTGCTATATTTGTCTACTGATATATTTGTCTTTGCCCTTTTTTGTTTACGTTTGTATGTTCATTAAAACCAATTTAAAAAAAATAATAATAAAAAAAAATTCGCAAAGTATGTTCACTTGTCACAAAACAATGTGCCAATGCATTTTTTGAGCATTTTCCTGAAGCAAAAGATAAGTTAATACTCTATTCTTTAAGTTAAATATCATTAATTGAGATTACACTAAATATCACTAATTGACGTTACTACACTAAATGACTAAACATTGAGATTGTAAAGCAGTTTGAGTGAGTGTGTTAAACATTAAACTCATAGCTCAGTGTTTAATGTTTCTCTTTATTATCTGTTTAGAAGAATCGACTGTCGAGGAAGCCGAGGTGGAGAGCGCAGTCGAGGCAGATAATTCTGCTGAAGTTCTGCTGGAAACGGAGGAGAAATCTGGAGCTCTGGAGAGCGTAGTGGAGGAAGTGGCAGAGACGGTGGCAGAGACTGCAGAGCTGGTGGCTGAAGTGGCAGGAGTTGTAGAGGAGACGGCGCAGGAAGTGGCAGCGGTCGCACAGGAAGTACAGAAGGTTGCAGAAGAAGTCGAAGCAGCAGCAGAGGCCATCGTGACTCCGGTCATTCAGGAAGAAGAGCCGGCGGCAGAGAGCAATGGTACGCCTTCAGTCTCCCAAGAGGAGGCAGTAGATCAGGCTGCTGATACAGAGGCCTAAAAGCCTCACGAGTACTCACACACACACACACACACACACACACACACACACACACACACACACACACACAATACCGAAGACTCAGTGTCCTCTATAGCAGAATTATCACTGGCTCACTTTATGTAAAAAAAACAAGAACAAAAATGGCACTTGGAACAAGATGTAGGACTACATTAATATTCTAATTTAATTCCTAAAGGGATAGTTCACACAAAAATTACTCACTATTTACCCACCCTTAAGTGCTTAGTGCTTTAGCATGTTTTTTCACTTGATTACAAAAGAAGATATTTTAAAAACTGTTAAAAACTTGTAACTATTGAATTCTATAGTAGGAATTCCACAAGTACTATGGAAGTCAATGGTTACAGGTTTTAACATGTTTCAAAATATCTTCTTTTGTGTTCAACAGAAGAAAGAGTAACGCTTTAAAATAGTGGTCCATTAGTAAATGTTAGATTTTGTCTTTATTAAGATGATCAAACATTTAGTGATGCATTTATTGTGGTATTTATTCATCACAACGTCTGTTAATGTTAGTTCATAACTCACTTTTCATTAACAAGCACAAATTTAATATTTTAATAATGCATTAATAAACATTGAACTATGATTAATAAATGCTTTACAAGAATATTCATACTTAATTTAAACTCTTTTTAGCTAATGGACCATTATTCTGAAGTATTACAGATGAAAAAGTCAAACAGTGACCTGTGAATCAGGAGTAAATGAGGACGGAATTTTCAGTTATTCAGAGACAGAAGTAGGGTTATCAAAGCATCAACTTCAGTACCAGTTGATACTAAAATTGAAATAATGTCTATTAAATTAAATGTCTAGACCAGGGGTGTCCAAACTCTGTCCAGGAGGGCCGGTGTCCTGCATATTTTAGCTCCAACTTGCCTCAACACACCTGCAAGGATGTTTCTAGAAAGCCTAGTAAGAGCTTGAGTAGCTAGCCCAGGTGTGTCTGATGGGGGTTGGAACTAAGCTGTGCAGGACACCGGCCCTCCAGGGCCGAGTTTGGACATGCCTGGTCTAGACCATAGATCTGAAACTCAATTCATGGAGGGCCGCAGCTCTGCACAGTTTTGCTCCAAGCCTGATCAAACACAGCTGACCCAACTTATGAAGGTGATCGTGACTATTTTGAACACCTCGATTAGTTGGATCAGTTGTGTTTGATAGGGTTGGTGCAAAACTGTGCAGAGCTCTGGCCCTTCAGGAATTGAGTTTGAGACCCATGGTCTAGAACCTTCGGATTTCACCCAAAATACCTTGTTTTGTGGACCGATGATCAATTAATAACATGTTTTTTTTTGTGGGTGGACTAACCATTCATAGCCATAGCCATAACCAACTAACAGCAGTGAAAAGTGGTGACATGTTGACCTTCAGAGCCAATCACAATCATATCTGTTAAGCCTGTGAACACAACGGCCAATCAGCTGTTTAAACTGATAGTTCACCCAAAACTGAACATCCTGTCATCATTCACTTGTTCCAAACCTGAGTTTCTTCTGTTGAACACAAAAGAAGATGTTTTGCTAAAAACCAGTAACCATCGACTTCCACAGTATTTTTGATTCCCACTATGGAAGTCAATGGTTACAGGTTTTCATCTTTCCTCAAAACATCATCTTTTTTACTTCAACAAGGGAAAGAAACTTATAAATGCTTGGAAGCATCTTTTTTGGGTGAACTGTCCCTTAAAAAACATGCTTAGATGTTTAATTTTAGTATCAATTACTATAAAAGTTGAAGTTTTTGACAATCCTAGACAATAAAGGACAGTGTATGTGATCGACTGTATAGTCTTCATTGCATTAAGGTGTAGAACAGGGTCCTTGCATTGTGGTAATGCCATCCCACTAAATTGCAGACAGTCAAGCCAAAAAAACCTAAAAATATAAAGACAGTCAAGTGATTCCAAACCCTTATGAGATGAACATAAAAGAAGAAATGATGAAGATTTTGTTATAAAAAAAAGTCATTTAATTCCACAGTAGAGATACCATAATATGGAATTATAGCTGGAGCTTTGCGACATTCTTCAAAATATCTTCTTTTGTGTTCAATGTTGAAGCAAGTGATGGATGAGTAATTTTTGAGCTGAACAGTCTCTATAATATGTACATTTCTATTATACTCCTGGAAATCCAGTGCTGATAACTGTAGAAACCACTGTGAGGACTCAAAGTTGCTGCTTTTTGTGACCAAACATTCCACAATTCCCAATACATCATCTGTTTCCTTTTCTCCTTCTCTTAGTTTCACTCTTAATGTCTAAAATCTGAGCCAACCTGACAGGTCTTTTTGTTTTTCAACCTCTATCCTGCCTTACCTCTTTTTTGAGGCACAATTGCATGTAAAGACACCACAAAAAGCTGCCAATGTACTGCTGTGTGTTGCTATTTATTATGTAATAACAGTGCCGGTGCATTTTGGATTTGTCAAAACTTGTGCTTCTCTGCCAGATATCACTTAGTTGGTACACGCCAGATGTTTCTGTGAAAAACTGTGAGTCTTTTTGCTCCCTATAGCGAATAGGCCAGCTGTGTTTCTGTATTAGTTGTCCCTTTATATTCCTCTGTGTGAATGAACGAACAAGGAACTCGCTAATTAAACAAATGAGCTCAAGTATGTGTGGTTCATGGACAATTTGCAACCGTGTGATGAAAACTGATAAGGGATTCAAAACTATTTAATAAAATTATGGATAAATATGACAAGATATTCTCTGTGTTTAATTTGTTTTGCTCTCTCTTGAAAACATCCTGATTTTGGAAACTAATATTATATCCTATACACTCACTGGCCACTTTATTAGGTACACCTGTCCAACTGCTCGTTAACTCACTTGCTCGTTAACTTGGCTAATCAGCCAATCACATGGCAGCAACTCATTGCATTTAGGCATGTAGACATGGTCAAGACGATCTGCTGTAGTTCAAACCGAGCATCAGAATGGGGATGAAAAAGGTGATTTTAAGTGACTTTGAACGTAGCATGGTTGTTGGTACCAGACACATGGATCCATCCTGCCTTGTATCAATCGTTCAGGCTGGTGGTGGTGGTGGTGTAATGGTATAGGGGATATTTTCTTGCCAAACTTTGGACCCATTTGTACCACTGTGTCAACAGCACAGCCTACCCAAGTATGGTTCCTGACCATGTTTATCCATTTATGACCACAGTGTACCCAGTTTCTGATGGATACTTCCAGCAGGATAACGCGCCATGTCATAAAGCGTGCATAATCTCAGACTGGTTTCTTGAACATGACAATGAGTTCACTGTACTCAAATGGCCTCCACAGTCACCAGATCTCAATCCAATAGTGCACCTTTGGGATGTGGTGGAACGGGAGATTCGCATCATGGATGTGCAGCTGACAAATGTGCATCAACTGTGTGATGCTATCATGTCAATATGGACCAAAATCTCTGAGGAATATTTCCAGGACTTTGTTGAATCTATGCCATGAAGGATTAAAGCAGTTCTGAAGACAAAACGGGGTCCAACTCTGTACTAGTAAGGTATACCTAATAAAGTGGCCGCTAAGTCTATATTTTAACATTGACCGTTCATCCTCTATTCCAAAAGTAATGTTTTAAAACGGTGAATTTAATGCAGAAGGGTTTTCTTTGTTAGTGTTTGGTAATATTTGTGGTGTGTCCCTTCCTTGGTGATATTTGGCAGTAAAGCCTCTTGTATAATTTGATGGGAAATGTCTTAAAAAATAGACATGCATTATGATAGATGCTGAAAGCAATGTCGTTCTGTGAAATGCCCCCCCAAAAAGCACACCATCTGAATGCATTTAAACTGCACTTAAAATACACCATCTGAGACGAAGTGCTCTTAAATGAATAGGCTTTTTCTTTGCTTTTAGAAACGTCTCTACTCTAGTGAGGATGAACATTTGTAGTCTACTTTCAATAATCTTAATTTCTGTCTTTCCTGTTGTTTCTGTGTCTCTAGACCTTCTAATCACACACACACACACACACTGAAATATTCTACAAAAGTAATGTTTGATAACACCAAATATTATTTATTAATATTTATATTAGTATTATATTAGTATTATTTTTTATTTATATTAGTAATATTATTTATTATTATATTAGTATTATTATTTATATAAGTAATATTATTATTATTATATTAGTAATAATATTTATACTAGTAATATTATTATATTAGTATTATTATTATTTATTAGTAATATTATTTAATATTATATTAGTATTATTATTTATATTAGTAATATTATTATTATATTAGTAATATTTATACTAGTAACATTATTTGTTATATTAGTAATATTATTTACTTTTATATTAGTATTATTATTTATATTAGTAATATTATTTATTATTATATCAGTATTATTATTTATATTAGTAATAGTATTATTATATTAGTAATATTTATACTAGTAATATTATTTATTATATTAGTAATATTATTTATTAGTAATATTATTTACTATTATATTAGTATTAGTATTTATATTAGTAATATTATTTATTATATTAGTAATATTAATTATTATTATATTAGTATTATTATATTGGAATTAATATTTATTATCATTTATATTAGTAACATTATTATTATATTAGTAATATTATTTATTGGTATTATTAGTATTATATTGGTATTAATATTTATTATTATTTATTTTAGTAATATTATCATTATATTAGTATTATTATTTATTATTATTTATATGAGTTTAGGCCTTAATTCATGCTAATAAGTACTGGCTTATTACCTGCCTATTATTAAGATATTAACTGTTCATTTGTAGTTATGAAGTCTGATCTTATTCTGCATCTCTAATCACACAAAACCAAAACTTCTACCTTACTAACTATTAATAAACAGCTGATCACTTGTTTATTTATCTAGTAGTGTTAGTTTATGGTTGGTTAATATCATGAATTGTGACCAAAACTGATGAATTACCTAATATTTTAACCAAACAAGTATTTAAAAGTTATAAAATGTCTAAAAATTAGGTTTCCACTCGGTATTAATATGCATTTGCTAGTATACAAAACTCTTTCTATGTTCTACATAATTTTTTTATGACTCTAGTGCTTGAGTAGTATTATAAGGACCTACTGTGAATTATACAATAGTAAGTTGAGCAGGAGCCACAGCTTAGAGCACACTATTCATTTTCTTTTCAGCTTAGACCCTTCATTAATCAGGGTTCAACTTATCCAGCATATGTTTTACGCAGCGGATGCCCTTCCAGCTGCAACCCATCTCTGGGGAAACTAGAGCACATTATTTATTTATTATTTTACATTATCCCTTTATTCATCAGAGGTCACCACAGCGGAATGAACCGCCAGATTATTCAGCATATGTTTTACACAGCGGATGCCCTTCCAGTTGCAACCCAGTACTAAGAAACACCCATACACTTTCATTCACACACATACACTAGTGCCAATTAAGCTAATTCAATTCACTTATAGTGCAAGTCTTTGGACTGTGGGGGAAACTGGAGCACCTGGAGGAAACCCACACCATCACAGGGAGAACGTGCAAACTCCACACAGAAATACCAACTGGCCTAGCTGGGGCTCGAACCAACAACCTTCTTGCTGTGAGGTGACAGTGCTAACCACTGAGCCACCGTGCCACCCTAGAGTACAATATTTGTAGATTATTTACAAAGTTCAACTTTAATATAGTGAAGGTTTTCGTTTGGAGGTGGTTTGAGTCCTGTCAAAGTGTAAACATTCCAAACAATAGTAAAGCATTCAGACACAATTGTTTTATTTTTCAGTTTTAATTTGCACTTTTTGAATGCTGTTAAACTCCCCTAAAAAGTATTGATCTTTGCTTGTAACTTGTAATGTTTTAATCTTTTATGCTGACTCACTCCTTTACAAAATCATCAATCATTTTAAAACAATAACTTTTTTCTAAATATAGCTATTGAAATTATTTGATGAAAATAAATATTACAATGCCTTTTTTTTTTTTTTTAAATATATGACTCTGGACCAGAAAAGAAGGTCGCTGGTTCAAGCCTCGGCTTGGTCAGTTGGCATTTCAGTGTGGAGTTTGCATGTTCTTCCCGTGTTCGCGTGGGTTTCCTCCGGGTGCTCCGGTGTCCCCCACTGTCCAAAGACATGCGGTACAGGTGAATTGGGTTAGCTAAATTGTCTGTAGTGTATGAGTGTGTATGAATGTTTCCTAGGGATGAGTTGCAGCTGCGTAAAACATGTGCTGGATAAGTTGGCGGTTTATTCCGCTGTTGCAACCCCAGATTGATAAAGGGACTGAGCCGAAAAGAAAATGGATGAATATGAGTGCGTGTGTTTCCCAGTGATGGGTTGTGGCTGGAAGGCCATCCGCTGCGCAAAACATGTGCTGGATAAGTTGGCGGTTCATTCCGCTGTGGCGTCCCCTGATTAATAAAGGGACTAAGCCTAGAAAAAGAATGAATGAATGAAAGCTAAATACTGTATATAAGCTTTCCATTGATTTATTTGACAACGTTTAGGACATTATTTATATTTGGTGGAGATGCAACTAAGTGGAAAATCTGTAATCTGAGGTTCAAAGCCATCAAAATATTGAAAAAATTGCCTTTTAAAAACAAATTTTAATGCTAAATGAAATTAAATTCAACTTATGAGTTATGATATATTTACAACAGGAAATTTACGAAACGTCTTCATGGAACATGATCTTTACTTAATATGGTAATTCATTTTTGGCATTAAAGAAAAATTGATAACTTTGACCAATACATACATTCATTTTTTTTATACATTCATACGGCCAATGTAGTTCATCCAATTCACATATACCGCTTGTCTTTGGGCTGTGAGAGAAACTGGAGCACCCAGTGGAAATTCACACCAACACGGGGAGAACATGCAAACTCCACACAAAACTGCCAACTGACCCAGCCAGCACTTGAACGAGTGACCTTCTTGCTGTGATGCGACAGTGCTAATCAGTGAGCCACCATGTTGACCTTGACCAATACATTGTTTTTTTTTTTTTTTTTTTTTTTTTTTGCCTGTTACCAAAAAAAATGCCCATGCAAAGAAAAACTGCATATGTAGTCCAGGGTCACATGTTGAGCAGGTCTGACTTGTGATCAGATTGACAAAAGAAATTTTAATGGAATAATTAAGTAAGGTGGGTGACACGGTGGTGCAGTGGGATGTGCTGTTGCCTCACAGCAAGAAGGTCGCTGGTTTGAGCCCCGGCCGGGTCAGTTGGCATTTTTTGTGTGGAGTTTGCATGATCTCTCCGTGTTCGTCCAAAGTCCGAAGACATGCTGTACAGGTGAATTAGGTAAGCCAAATTGTCCATAGTGTATGTATGTGTGCGAATGAGTATGTATGGGTTTCCCAGTGATGGGTTACGGCTGGAAATGCATCTGCTGCGTAAAACATAAATGCTGGATAAGTTGGCAGATCATTCCGCTGTGGCGACCCCTGGATAATAAAGGGACTAAGCCGAAAAAAAATTATTAATTAACTAAGGTGAATTTGGTAAACAGGTGGCACGGTGGCTCAGTGGTTAGCGCTGTCGCCTCACAGCAAGAAGGTCGCTGATTCAAGTCCTGGCTGGGCTGTTGGCATTTCTGTGTGGAGTTTGCATGTTCTCCTCATGTTAGTGTGGGTTTCCTCCGGGTGCTCCGGTTTCCCCCACAGTCCAATGACATGTGCTAAGGTGAACTGGACAAACTAAATTGGCTGTAGTGTATGAGTGTGAGAGTGGGGCTGGAAGGGCATCTGCTGCAAATTCATATCCCAGAATAATTGGTGGTAAAACAGGGACTAAGCTGAAGGAGAGTGACTGAGGGAGCATTTTAAAACCAGTTGCAAACCTCAAACATTTATGTGATTATTGGCTGGCTTGATTGTGTCTTTCAGTGGTCACACCAGTCTCGCTTAGCCCAGAAACAGCCGATCTGGCTGCTGCCTCCGTGATTGAGCTCATTCCAGTGGAGCCGCTATCTGTGGAAGACGTCCCGGTTAAATCTCTACCAGAGAAGGTGCTTAATTTGGAAAGTGAACCAATAACAGAGGAAGCACCAATTTCTCCAGTATCAGATTCTGTTGGAATAGAAGAGGCTTTGTTGTCTATTACTCCAGTCATAGAAGAACCAGAAGCTGTAGAGGAACCAGTTGTTGCCATACTGGCAGAAGAGACTCCATTAGTAGAGACACCAATCGGTTCACCAGAAACAGCTGGATTTCTCGCTCCAGTTTCTGAAAGTCCTCCATCAGAGGAAACATCAGTTGATTCATCATTAGTTTCTCCAGTAATTGAAGAACCACCAGTTTCCCCAGTTGTCGATGAACCACATGTTGTTGCTCCAATAGTTGAGGAGGCATCCATTGCTCCAATCACTAAAGAAGCGCCAGTTTCTACAGTTATCGAGGAACCAGTTGTGGCATTAGTTGTAGAAGAGTCTGAGCAGATACCAGTAGTCACTCCAGTGATTGAAGAACCACCCGTTGTGGAGGAACCACATGTTGCTGTAATGGTTGAAGAATTGCCCATTGCTACATCGACCGAAGAAGCACCGGTTTCTCCAGTTATTGAGGAACCAGTTGCCATATTAGTTGTCGAAGAGCCTGAAGAGACACCAGTTGATTCACCAGTAGTTGCTCCGGTAATTGAAGAACCTTCAGTTTCTCCAGTTATTGAGGAACCACATGTTGATGTAACGGCTGAAGAATTATCAATTGCTTCTCTGTCCGAAGAAGCACCAGTGTCTCCGATTGTTTCCTTAGTTGTAGAAGATGCAACACCCGTTGATCTGCCGGTGTCTTCAGAAACATCTGATCTACCAGTATTAGAAGTGGACGCATTGACAGACGATGCACTGTTGGCCTCTATTCCAGAAGAGGAGCCAGTTTTATTGGTATCTGAAGAAGCTGCTGTTACTGCGACTGAAGAAACACCTGTTGTTGTACCAGAGGAAACACCTGCTGCCGCTGAAGAGGTTGCTCCAGTAGTTGAGATCATTGCAGAAGCACAAGAAAGTGAGGATGTTAATGTAACCGTAAGTACAGAGGGGATTCAAGAAAGTGCAGTTGTGGAAGTTGCTCCAGTTGCTGTGGAAGAACCCAAGCGAGACTTCATAGTGGTCGTCCTGGAAGGAGCTCCTAAATCCGAAAAGAAACCCATGGTGCTCGGCGTGTCCCCTGTGATGGGCAGGATCATCCCAGCTCCTGATGATGATGATGAGGAGCCATCGGGTCAGGTAACAGGTAATCTGGTTTAACAAAAAAATAATGTGCCAGCTTTAACACTCGCAATGAGTTCCTTCTGCTTACAATCACAAATCATTAATAATTACACTCTCTACACAAGACCTGAAAGGGTGTGATTTGGGTAACAGGTTCCGATTGGTTAAAACAAAGATGGACAATTCTAAATATGTACGTCAATGCTGGGTCATATCTGAATCCAGATAGGAATGGCGACTGGAGGCTTGGGTCAGGTTGCCCGTAGACAATTAAGAGCTAGTCTCACCTGTGGAACCGACCCATTGGATGCATATAAACACACAAGAGACAATCTGTTATTACACATGGTTGTTTCTTTGTTCTCTCAGCTGTCTTATAAAACTAGTTCAATAGTTTAAACTGGTATTAACAGCATTCAGACTGCTATATTTTTACTACACAAAGGCTATCTTGAATAAAAAGGAAAATCGTTTAAAACTAAATATAATCACACAACCCGGGCTCATTGTGGAAACGTAGTCCTGTGGACGTTTCTGGAGACCGCGGAATACATCCTGGCGGGTTTTATTGGCTGCAGTTTTTGTTTTCGTGAATCCGCGAGAGGCCGCTGTTGCCCGCTTTTTCGCACCTCAGACGCCTCTCGCGAGCGTGGTTCGCGCCCACGCTGTTCTCGCGTGAACCCGCCGGAGGCCGCTGTCCAACTGACCGGATGATTGACTGTGCGACCAGCCAATTGGCCGACCCGCCCTCCTCCTTCCCCGAACCCAACCCATTTTACCGTTCGACCCGCCCACCCGCTCGCTTCCCTAAACCCGAGCGACAGTTTACAAAAGCCGTCCAAAAAAATAAAAGTCCCGATTTTAATTTTTTTTTCTACCGCGTTTTCGGATTTCGCCGCGTTCTCACCCTGTCACGAAACTCGTTCACTTAATTTTTGGGATTCTGTTTTCGTCCTAACTGATTTCTGGATCCGCTCTTCCCCGTACTCGAAACCGGTCGCCGTGGTCGACTCCTCTTCGAATCTCGAGCCTGCCGACGTTACACGGTGAGCTGAGTGGACAAACGGGTTTCAGCGGGGAAGCCCTCCGCTAGGAGGTAAGGCAAGCGCGAAAGGAAACGGCGTCACACCGCCCCACAGCGTTCGCTTGAAAAAAATAAACGCGGCCGTACGTACCCCCCGGGACATATTCCGCTGTCTCCAGAAACGGAGCTACGTTTTCAGAATGAGCTTGGGTATCTTCATAAAAAAATTAAATTGCAGTTGGTTTTGTCCACATGTCACCCAAAATTAAGTTGAAATGACCTAGCATTTTTTAGAGTGTGACCTTTACTGATTAAAAATATATAAACTAATATGTGATCTTGCTGTAATTTGCTATGGTATACATGTTTAAGATCTTCTTGCTGTCAAATCAGTAAAATGTAGTGGTTTAAAGGATAGTTGCAAAGTATTACATGCTTGTTTTTTGCTCAGAAAAAAATGACACTAAAAACAGGGCAATTTCTAATGAAAAAAACAAACATTCGACCTATCTACTGTACATTGTAACTTTCTTTTTATGATCTAAATGTACTTCTGTAATATCATTCACAGAGAAAGCGCCGGTTGCTTAAAGTGCAGATGTATTAGCACCAACTGAAAAGGTAATATTACATTTTAATGCTGTTGTATTATCATATAATGCTTGGTGTAATAGGCACTTTTCAAAAGTTTACAGTTGGTAAGATTTTTTTTTATGGAAGACTTGTTACAAGCAAAAACCTATTTTAAATAAATGTAACAAAAAGAAAATGGATTAAATGAATGAATAAATTACAATTTAAAATATACTTGTATCATGTATTCACATTATTTTAAATGGTTACAGTATTTTTACTTTTTGTTTTTGATAGGTAGACATTTTGATCATAAAATTCAACTATTAAATGATTGTTTTTACTAAAATATTTAAATGTCACATGATCAGATCAGTTTAAATACCTCCTGCACATCTGAAAGAAATAACATGTAGAAATGTTAATGTCACAATTGTAACAGGTTGTATTAAAATTGTTACTAATTGAAATTAATTATTAGTGAAGTGGCCAAGTTTTGTTTCCCACACTTGAAAATCTGCACTCTACCTTTAACCTATCCAAATACACACACATGTACAATTAGTTTAACTAACAAGTATTTAACTAACATAATATTAATAGAGGCTTGAAGTTTGTGTGGTCTAAAGAATACACTACCTGAAAAAGTCTTGTCATCTTTCCAAGTTTTATGAATAACAAATAATATCTTGACTTCTAGTTGATCATTTGGTATCAGAAGTGGCTTATATGAAAGGGAAAGGCTTCTAGATTACGCTTATTTTACCAAAATAAAATATGATCATGTCTTGATTTTTAATTATTTCATTAGGACTGTAAGGTCTGACTTTGCTTAGACAAAAGTCTTGCTGCAGTGGAGACAGAATGAATATTGTGTCTGACTCCATCATGAGCTTGGAGGACTGCATCCATACATCTCTGCAATGACTCAAATCACTTATTAATAAAGTCATCTGGAGGCAAAGAAAGTGTTCATGCAGGACTCCCAGAGTTCATCTAGAGTCTTTGGATTCATCTTCAATGCCTCCTCCTGTCATCTTACCCCAGACATGCTCAATAATGATTATATCTGGTGACTGGGTTGGCCAATACTGCAGCAGCTTGACCTTCTTTGCTTTCAAGAACGGATGTGGAGGCTGAAGTATGATGAGGAGCGCTATCCTGCTGAAGAATTTGCCCTCTCCTGTGGTTTGTAATGTAATGGACAGCACAAATGCCTTGATACCTCAGGCTGTTGATGTTGTCATCCACTCTGCAGATCTCCCACACACCACCATCCTGAATATATCCCCAAACCATGATTTTTCCTTTATCAAACTTGACTGATTTCTGTGAGAATCTTGGGTCCATGGTTCCAGTAGGTCTTCTGCAGTATTTGTGATGATTAGGATGCAGCTCAACAGATGATTCATCTGATAAATCAACCTTCTGCCACTTTTCTAAATGATTACCTAGACATCAAGTTATTATTTGGTGTTCTTACAACTGGAATTGACAACAAGACGTTTGTCAGGTAGTGTACAATGTATGTTCTCAGATTTCCCGCAAAAAAATGTAATAAACCTTTAGATTAAAGAGATAGTTTTTCCAAAAAATTTAATTGTCATAATTTACTCACCTTTTTTTGTGTTTGTTTAGCACAAAACAAGATATTTTGAAGAAAGTTTGTAACCACTGACTTTCATAGTATCTGTTTTTCCTGCTATGGAAGTTGAGGTTTCTGACATTTTTCAAATTATCTTCTTTTGTGCTAAAAAAAAAAAACTCAAACATGTTTGGAACAAGTAAAGGGTGAGTAGATGATGACTGAATTGTCATTTTTGGGTGAACTACCCATTTACATGGGCTAACGTAACATTATCTTTGTCTTTTTCTCACTTTGCAGCAGTCAGATGTTGATCTGGGATAGTAAAGTGGTTCCCTGATACAGAATTAGTGATGTGCCTTTCCCCTTCCCTGATGCCTGCGTCCACACTGACGTCTCCTTCACCTACAGCTCTCTCTGTGACTCTCCACTGAAAAATGGTTACTACACCTGAACCTTCACTTTACTCGTATGTGAGGCATACAGGTTTACTCACAATAATGATAAAATGCATGCAAAGCTGTGAAAGAGCCTTTTTTAAATGGAACTCCACTCATTTGAGTCAAATGCACAATATGAGCCTATACTACAGCAGTGTTTCCCAACCCTGTTCCTGGAGGCACACCAACGGTACATAGTTTGGATGTCTCCCTCATCTGAACCTTTACCTTCAGGTTTTGGAGCATCGTCTAACGTGCTGATGTTTTGATTCAGGTGTGTTTTGAATAGGAAGAGGTTGAAAATGTATACTGTTGGTTTGCCTTTAGGAACAGGGTTGGGAAACACTGCATTATAGTTTACCCTACCTCAAATCTCACTTTATAGGACATGACTTGATATTAAAATTAATGGTTACAATACCAGCAGATTATGCCACAAACACTGCCATACCTGCACGCTGGCCACCAGATTTCAGGTTTCTCCTTTAAAAACGATGCTATCGGCATTATTTATTAACTAACGCTATTTAATTTCTACCTCTCTCTACCTCAGCTTGAACAGTGTTGTTTTTCCTTTTTACACATTTCCAGTGTTAGCAACCCGCTGCCATTCATAATGTCATGACTAGGTCAAAATGAAGATTTATCAAAATAATCGGTAACACTTTACTTGATTATAAAGGTCTTATGAACACCCCTTCAGGACATGACAAGTCATGAAAGTGAATGAGCTTTCATGCATGCTTATGACAACTGTTATTAAGTGTAATTTGCTCAGTAATGTAATATTGAATGCAAAGATGGCATTGATTAGGAGAACTTGACATAACACATACATCACAATCTTTGATAACTTGACATTAACAAGACAACAAAACTTGTCATAAATCTGTCATAAACATGATTGTGATGAGGCATTATAATTGTGTCATTTTTCTGATCACATTTTCAGGTGGAGCTAGCTGTATTTGTCATTAAAATGTCTCATTTAAAGTGTCACTACTCTGTCAAATCATTTTTAATTGTGCCATTAATTAATACTTAATAACATTTTAGTGACAAATTCAGCTTGTACCACTGTAATTGAGGTAAAATAATATTAATGACGCTGTTATAATATTCATAACATTTTATTACATACATTTATAATGACTTATTGACAATTATGTTTATGACAGATTTATGACAGGTTTTGTTAACCCTTGTGCACTGTTCAGATTTATTACCCTTTTATTGTGCTGGGGATGAAAACATCCACTGAATTAAACTGCTGTAAAAATGCATCAGATTAATATTTTTTTCGAAATATTTTGCTTAAATCTTTTATCAACCTCAGTCCTATCAAAACTACTGAATGTTTTTAGAAATTACAGGATTTTAACTCTTTGATTGCCAAATTCACTAATGTTGTCACTGATTTGGTGAAAAAAACAAACAAAACGACGTATTTTCAATATAAAAAGTAATTGTGCACAGAATTTTTCATCTTTTATCACAGTCTTGGACATTACCAGTCACCATAAGTAACAATGTTGGCTTTAATGCATTGTTAGATTTTCATTTTGTTCTCCTTAATTTACTGTCAGTGGCTGTTTTTGCTCCATTGACTTCCATTATAACCACATTTGATGGTGCATAAATACCAGGCCCGGATTGGCTAATCGGGTGGACCGGGACAATTCCCGGTGGGCTGGTCCGTTTTTTGGCAGTGAGGGCCAGTGTCTCTAGCTGCTTGCACTCTCAGCAGTCGCACTTTTTTTCATTTATTTATTTATTTGATCATAGCCTCACTCTTTTTATTCATTATTTTGCCGCAGCTCCGCTCTTTTTATTTATTTTCTCGTAGCCCCGTTAGAAAATGCAGCCCGCACATTAATGGTGATGTATCTCATTCCACCCCAAACAGCGGCACCTTTGTGAATATTAATTAATATTAAAGAATATTACACCTGCTCAATGAAAATCAGATGATTCACTACATTAATAAATCTAACAAAACTTGATCAGAAATCTTAAAAGGGGAGAAAAAGAGTTGGGTGAAAAAAAACATCAATAGCAGCAGATAACAGTGCAATACTTATTCTTTATCTTTTTTAACTTAACAACGCCATCGTGGTCTAGTGGTTAGCACGTTGTGTTACGACGTCAAGATCCGAGATCGAACCTCACCAGAGTAAAATATTAAATATATATATTTTTTTATTTTAGTGAAAAGATATATAGTAATGTTTGGGTTACTTATGTAGGGGTACATGTTTTATTTTTTTTGTGTGACGACTGTTACAAAGGACTGGATATCTATAAAGAATTAATGTTCTCATATTTATGAAAAGCATTTAAGTTCTAAAGCAGCTGTGTCCTTTAAAAAGACGTTATAGTGTCAGTAGAAACTGAATTGGAAATGACGTTATTTTAGTCAGTTGTAAACTGAGGTGGGCCGGTCTAAGGCTTGAAACTCCAGAGCTGAAAAGGAGTCCCACTCCTGCCCTGATAAAGAGTCTTTGTTTTTGTTTACTCCATGTAGTTCTGAGAGCTGAGATGTATATTTTGATTTTCTCTCTCACACACACACACACACAAACACACACACACACTTTAATTTGCTTTTATACTCCATGTATAATCCAGAAAGCTTTTTTTTTTTGTATCTAAGGGGTTAATAGGGCCAACTAATGATCAACAGTGAAATTTACAAGTTTTACCTCTTCCCAACTGGGAAAACCACCAACAATTAAATATGCATGATTAAATGATGTCGTGGCTTTGCAATCTTGTAAAAAATGTGGTTATAATAAACAGCCACCAAAAGAATATTAAAGAGAAAAAAAGAAAATTATTCAAAAACAATGCATCAAAATTAATTTTGTTTTACATGTCCAAGACTTTGATTAAAAGGTAAAAGAAAATCCAGCCCACAATTACTTTTTATATTATTATTGCGTCATTTTGTGTGTTTTTTTCTCACCAAATCAGTGACATCAATTATGAATTTGGCAATCAAAGAGTTAAAATCTTGTACATTTCTAAACAATTTAGTAGTTTTAAACAGGACTGAGGTTGATTAACAGATTTATGCCAAAAAATAAAAAATAAATGAATTTTTTCATCCCCAGTACAACAAAACAGTAGTAAATTTGCCCTGAGTGTAATTGAGTCATTGAGTTCTTTGAAAATTTCAAAGCATTTTCTAAAAATATGTGCCAAAATAAGACTTGTCACTAAAAATCATCACATTTGCTGAAACACTGAAAAAGTTATGGCCTAATGGAGAATTAAAAATCACCCCAGAGTGGATGAAAATATCCCCAACAGTAGATAAGGGGTAATGTCAAGTCGTCATGAAAACAACGTTTAAAATGTCATTACTGAGAAAATGAAACCTAATGACAGTTGTCATAAGCATGCATATAACCTCATTCACATTCATGACGTCATCTCATGATCATAAAGGTTTCATGACAGTCTTATAAACACCACTTTAACTAAAGGGTACCAAATAAGCAATACTATAATATGCCATGTTCACATTCCAGTATTAATTCTGAAGCCAGATATTATCCAAGAGGAAAAGCCTTTTTGCTCAATACTTTGCTTTTATTTTGTGATCAATCATCATCATCATCATCAATATATGTGATTATAAAACATTACTTCCTTTGTGTCAAAAGGATGCTCCATAAACCTGTTATGCCAAAGTTACACCCTTATTACTTTCAATTTTATTTTATTAGATGCTAGTCTGCACTCATTCTCAATTTAGACTGGTAGACAAGGGAAATAAAGGTTGGATAAATACAAGAAAACCACCTATAACCTCTTAATCGTTTGTTGTTTATTTCTTTCACACATGTCTGAAAAGGGACCTCGAGTGTTACACGATTACAGATTTATAATGTGAATGTGAGGGAATAATGTGAAGTATGTTACAGTATCATTAATGGTGTTTTCATGGGTTCTCTTTGTTTGAGGGTTAGTTCTATAATACACATTATTGTGGTGTTTTGAGGTTTCACTTTTAATGTAGGCCCTAAACAGGGGGGGTTTAACTGTGAATGTAAACCAGAGGGAAAATAAAGAATTAAAAAGCATTTTATGTGTGCTTGTGTATAATTAAAGATTGTAATTAATTTAGATTTAATATTTTTTAGATTTCTCTGTTTGGTGTGTTGCATAATGAGTTTTGTAAATTTTGGAGAAGCGTCTTCTAGATCAGGGCTGCTCAACCCTGTTCCCGGAGATCTACCTTCCTGCAAAGTTTAGCTCCAACCCTGATTGAACACACCTGAAGCAATAAATTAGGACCTGAACAGCACTTGATAATTACATGCAGGTGTGTTTGATATGGGTTGAAACTGAAATCTGCCGGAAGGTAGATCTCCAGATGCAGTGTTGAGCATCCCTGTTCCAGATCAATGGTAAGGATTTCTCATAGAGGGAAAGTTGGTTGTTTATTCACACATTACACTGTAAAAAAATGGCCGTGATTTCAACGGTAAAAAACTGTAAAAATGCTACAGTACAAATCTGTAACCTGGTTAACGGTATGTTTCCTTAATATATACGGCGAATAACCGTAAATTGACTATCCCAGAATTCCCTGCATGGCACATCACTTTTTATGCATTTGGTTGACATTAATATGGATCTGTTTAGTTGTTTCCCCATCAGTTATGTACATTAGAGATTTATGTTACATCTAATGTTGATAAACAAAGTTTATTTCATGACTTTAATTTTATGCATGTTACCATACTGGTGTTTAGTAGCTGTGTGAATGCCACTGAGCACCTTCTATATGCTGATACTCTTTTCTACTTGTGGGAAAAGTTAATTGTGATGAGCATTGGCTCATTTTGTATCTTCCTCATCACCACCTGCATGTGGGTGTGCTAACGTGTCTAACCATGAAACAAAAGATGTGTAGATGACGTTGATCATTCAAAATGCAAACATATTACCTCTTTAAAATAATGAAATACGGTAATTCACCGTAAAAATGAAAAATTACTTTCACGGTTTGTACCGTGTTTTTAACGGTAAAGTACTGGCAACCACAGCGTTTTTTTACCGTAAATTTTACGGATTTATCTTTTACAGTGTATGTATATTCATTCATTTTTTTCCGGCGGCTTAGTCCCTTTAATAATCTGCGGTCGCCACAACGGAATGACCCGCCAACTTATTCAGCAAATGTTTTTACATAGCAGATGCCCTTCCAGCTGCAACCCATCACTGGGAAACATCCATACACACTCATTCATCACCACACACATACACTACGGTCAATTTAGCCTACCCAATTCACCTATAGCGCATGTCTTTGGACTGTGGGGGAAAGCGGAGCACCCGGAGGAAACCCACACAAACACGGGGAGAACATGCAAACTTCACACAGAAATGCCGACTGACCAGCCGAGGCTCAAACCAGCAAGCTTCTTGCTGTGAGGCGATCGTGCTACCCACTACGCCACTGTGATGCCACATTATAAAGTGTTACTTGCACATTATAAATAGGGAAATCATATTAGCAGCCAATGACTATCAAAGTACAACATTGTTCACAGTCAAGTAAATAGTGCTAATGTTGTTTTAAAGTCAGACCTAAAGCAATTTCAGACTGAATATTCAAAGTACTGTAGCGTGGTAAACAATATAGGGAATTTGCGAATATAAAACCAACTTTACCTCAATGGATTTGTCTGGTTTGAAATGCACAGGTTATAATTTCAGAAATTAGTACAAATAATATTGTGTATTATGGGGATATTGGCGGTTCATTCCACTGTGGCAACCCTAGATTAACAAAGGGACTAAGCCGATAATAAAATGAATAAAGTATGGGGATATTGTTGGCAATTGTCACGTAGAATATGTATTTTTTTCAAATTAGTTTACATTTAGTGTTTTATTTTATATAATTTAATTGTAATCATTAATTTATTTGCCCGAGACATGTTTGAACATGATGCAACACAAATTACGTAAAATGTAATTTAATTATGATTTAATACTAGATAGCACTATGTATCAAATATACCTATTAATTAACATTTTAAAATCGAGTTTGATTAAATAAATTTTTTTTATTATTATTATTAGGCCCAAAACATTGTATTGGCTATGCTATAAGCATATACATACAATAACAAACAGGCAAAATAATAATATTTATCAATGGAAAAATATACAAATAAAAACAAAGGAAATAAAGAGAAACAACTGAACACAGGGTGTAGAATAAATACATATTTAAAAAGCAAAACTTACTCAAACAGGAAAAGAGGTGCAGACAGATAAGGTTTTTAGAGCCGTATTGTTGTCAGATCAATGAATGGTATTGTTTAAATACGTTCATAAAAACAACAAACACCAGTCTGGAGCTTGAAAATTTTGCAATTATGAATGTGGAATTTTGCAAGGAGCAAAACCAAGTTTGCTTGAAGAAATATCTTTTCTTTTTTTTATTGCAAACAGAATACAGTTGACATGTAAACAACATCGGGGTGTCTGCAGGGTCTTAAAATGTCTTACATTTCAAAAACTACATTTTAGGCCTTAAAAAGTTTTAAATTCACCAAAATAATGTCTTTAAGGTTTGAAATAATTTTAAACAGGTGTTCATTTATCAATCAGGCCAAACACTCATTCAATCACCAACAATACATCTCAATAGAACCTTTAACAAAAGTGTAAGTTGTTAACTCTTTATTTTAAGTCTATGACTAGAGTTTGCTTGTTTCGACACATTATTTCAAATATGTGGCTTAGAAATAGCTAAATTAAATTGTTTGGTGGGGACCATTAAAAATCTTTTCCACTAGCTGGCCTTTAGAAAAGAAATACTAGTTGTTTAACTTCGTATAAATCTGAAATTGTATATTTATAATGGTCTTGAAAAGGTCTTAAATAGTCTTGGTGAACCGTGAAGAAACCCTAAATGTTTGTATATAATACACAAAATATCAATTAAACATATTGTCAGTAAAAAAAATGTACAAAGACAAAATAAATAAAGATAAATATGAACTTGGAAGACACAGTGGATCAGTGTTTAGCACTGCCGCCTCACAGCAAGAAGGTTGCAGGTTCGAGTCCCAGCTGGGTCAGTTGTCATATCTGTTTCCTCCAGGTGCTCTCGTTTCCCCCACAGTCCAAAGACATGCGCTTTAGGTGAATTGAATAAACTAATTTGCCCGTAGTGCATGTGTGTGAATTGAGTTTGTACGGGTGATTCCCAGTACTGGATTGCAGCTGGAAGGGCATCCGCTGTGTAAAACATATGCTGGATAAGTTGGCGGTTCATTTCGCTGTGGTGGCCCCTGATGAATAAAGGGACAAAGCCGAAGGAAAATTAATGAATGAATAATTATTAGAATCTTTTAGCTTAACATATAAATCAAAATTCTTTCTGAAAATAAAAAATAAGAGTGTTTCTTTGAAAAATGTTCATTTAGGGGTGTAAAATTTAGCCAGAAAAGGCAAAAAATGAATAACAAATTTACAATGAGAGGGGTCTAGGTTCAGAGAGTAACCGAGACTTGATGAAATTTCAGAGTACGCGCACCTGGTGTGTGTGACGTCACGTACGGTTACTGCGCAGTTCGTCATTCAGATCCTGCTAACGGGAGGCCCGAAACCAGCAACGCAAAACATCACTTACAACACCAACTCGGACGGCTAAAACTAAAATCTTTTTGCATCCTACATTTGACTAAATAGACGTCTGTCTATCGCCTGCATGCGTGCGCTTTATCAGCGAGCGTTTCTGGCAAGTTGAGCAGCTTTAACGTCAATCTGTCATTAGCATTGTTAGCATGCTAACCTTATGACAGAGTAAACTCGGCTGTTCTGAGCTGCACCAAACGACTGGAAATCAACACAAACGGTATGAAATACAAATTTATCGAGCTATACGTTCCTTAGTGCTTAAAGCTAATTCATTTAGACTAGGTGTGTTTTTGGTTTAGCATGTTTGTTTGTTACAGCAAGCTGTTTACCGATATATAGACATTTTGTTTAAAAGTTATTTATTTATGCTATTGTTTTTCTGTAAACTGATATTACTTGTCATTTGACACAGTAAATGTGAATAAATCAGTTGATAAATATTTATATTATTTGAGGAAAATGAAAGCTCTGTTTGGACGTCAGTAAAGCGCGCTCAGTCTGTCAGTGTGTTATTATCAGTGTATCAGTGTTTACATTTTGTAACGCGTGATTGTAAACTATGATAAGGTTTAATAACCAAGAAGTGCAAGATTAGACATGGACTGAACAGGAGTTTGAAATAAAATGTTTGGTTTTTGATTTATGTATTATTGCCTTTGGACAGTTTTGCTTTATTTATGTGAAGTACACTATGAAGTACAAATACAGGTCGTACTGTGTTGTAGTAGCGTGCTATAAGAAAATAGTTCATAAAAAGAAAACACTTCTTTGTGTTTTTGTATTAATTTTTTTTATTCTTTTACTCAAATCGTGAGTATGGCTGAGCTGAGATCAGTTTTGCCTACAGGATGCAGGCCTCTTCCGTTTTCTTGTTTTGTTTCTGTGTGTGTGTGTGTGTGTGTGTGTGTGTGTGTGTGTGTGTGTGTGTGTGTGTGTGTGAGAGAGATATTTTGCTAGAATGTTAGCTTTCCCTCACCATGCCAGCTGAAAAGGCATCAGATGTTGATTAAGGCAAAGTTGGTTTTACATTCACACATTCAGACTTTCTCCTTAATACTACAATTTCATAAAAGTATTCTTTGCAAATTCTTAATAGTGAAATCATATTAGCAGTACACTAAAATAATCCTCCTGATTGTCTAAAAATTTTAAGCTGAATAAAATTAACCTTATGAGTCCATTGAACTTATATCATGTTAAACTAACTTAAAACAGCTTGTGTAACTTATAAAGTTAAGTTAAAAATTATTAACATAGTTTAGTAAGTTACAAAGACTTAAAAACATGATGTTAGGTAAAACTGATCAAATATTTTTTTACAGTGTAGAGATGCTCCCATCAAGATTTTTGCAGTCGATACCGAGAACAGATTCCTTTTCATGTTGATCGGCCGATACTGAGTACCGATGCTTCAAGTTTT